TGTGTGTTCCACTGTCAAATGACAATCGCACACAATCAAAAATCAAATGGTTTGATCCTCCCCCATCCAAAAAAAATGGGTGAATAAGGTTTGAAAGGCCTTTTACGCAAAAAAAATTGTTTAAATGTCAAGATAGTAGACATTTCATTTAAAACAAACACCCCGCCTCCCCCTCCTCTCCCCCGCATCCTCCCCCTAGGCGAGGCATTAGATGACAGGAGGCTAAAGACACAGTTCAGGAGGGACGATTTGTCAGTGCAATTAACACATAGTGCACACCAATCTAGATAGGCATTGTCTTATGAGGTGGCCCGATGATGCCAACCGTGTTTGTCGGCAAAATTGTCAGAAGTTAAATTACATAATTAGTCGCTCTGCCACAATAGATAGGTTTGACAAGCAGTGTGTTGCAGGGTGGAGGTGCAGTGTGGAGAAAGGCGAGCGGGGGAGGAGTTGGCAATTCGAGAAGAGGACAGAGGGACGATGGTGCTACAAATGCACTTAGTAAAGATTATTATAAAATGTGAACAAATAGGTTAAGGGCATTTGTAATCAGTGACAATGATTGTCCTTGTCATTTCCGCCTCTCAAGGGATTGGTTGGCACGTCATCATTTCCACACACTTGTCCAACAACACTACAACCATTTCTTCAAGATGGTAGTGAATATGCTTTTTTTCTTTTTGTTATATCTTCGACAATGTTAAATTGTTTTAACTGAAAGTAGGGAATGTGGTGATAATTTGGATTGGTCAGTATTTGTGACAAATTTTTCCAAACCTCTAATAACATCATTTGAAGTTTACACGTTTCCATTTGAGACTTGGTTTCTGGACGTCGGAAGGGAAAAGATTAAGGGTGTATTTTGGGAATATTTGCCTCAAGAAGGAAGGTGGAAATGTACCTTTCTAATTGTTCTGACGGAGATGTAAAGGAAATGCCTTTCGCGTAACTTGCAGAGGTGCAGGAATTCAATCCTCTTTCAATGCGCTCATCTTTAACTGCCGAAATAAAGAAGAGCTGTGTCAATATAAGATAATGTAAGGTATTAATGAATCCGGGTCAATAGATTTACCCCATCATGTGTCCTACTGTGACGTCGGAGACAAGTCTGCCAAAACAGCACCTCCGTCGAACATAAGTGAAGCAGACTCAGATGGGGAAAGTGTGACGTTATACACATGTGACGTGTTAATTACAGGTTAATAGAAGGGGAGCGCGAGGTGGGTAAGAATAAGGGGAAGAGGGACACTGACTTTCCATTGGTCATTCACCTTCTGTGTGCATGTTGGTGCGACAGTGCGTGTGTGTGTGTGTGGTAGTATAAAAGTCAACTGGCACACAACAGCACACATTTTGCCATGCAAATCGAAAATATCATCAAAGACCTTCCTCTAGCGCCACCGCCGCCTCCACCACCACAACCGCCAGTGCTCCCTCCACCGCCTCCACCAGGTCCTCCAATACCAGCAGCAGAGTTGCTCGGAATTCCAACAGATTTAGCTCCACACTTCCCTTCTCAACTATTGCAGCTGAAATGGCAGCTCTTCTGTGTGCAGAAGAGTCAACAAGAACTTGCCAGTGCAATTCTTCAATTAAGTAGCATGATTTTAGTTAACTCCTCGCCACAGCTCAATCCATCCCTCCAACAAACACAGCAAAACTTACCTTTGGGTTTTGCGGACAGCAAACCGCCCTGGAAACGCAGATGGAACTCCAAAGAACGGGGTTCTAGTAGTGCATCTAAATACGCCATGACGTCACAGACTCAAGCAAAGTCAAAAGCTCCATTGAGCCTTGTTCCCTGTCAGTGCAACGTTTGTCAGAAGAATGATGCCGTATCAGTGTTACCAAAGCAATCAGATCCAATTAATCAGAGTCCACTCGATTTATACGTCTCCTACTTTCTAAACAGTCTCGAGAACAGGCAACTTCCACTTCCACCGACGTTAGCACCACCGCAACAGGATATTGGACGGACTTCCATTCATCAACAGGTGAATTTGAGATTTGAAAATTTGTGGGCACCTTTGATAAAACTGGTCTTATCTCCGAGTTGGGGCGAATGATGTCATTAATAATTGATGTGAGGTTGATGCCAACCGTCATAAAGAAAAATATTTTCCAAATTATTGATGACAGCAATGTCGCCTTAACATTTTAAGCAAATTACTTCAAGTAGTACTTTGAAAAGTTGTGAATGAATTTCGTCGTTCAAAAATAGGCACACTTCAGCAATTTAAAATGGTCTGCTTGGTTGGTATGACAACGGCTACGCATTTAACTAGCGAAAAGAATTGAGCATTATAGCTTTTGAGGTGCGCTAAAGTTACTTTAACAGAGTTTTCAAGAGTTGGGCGCATTTTGATTAAAAATTGTAGCTAACTTTCATGAATCAAATAACTTTCAATGTGGAGACTATCTCTCAATCCTGGTTTTATACACGCAAGGAAACGAATCTGTTTTCATCCACGGACCCGGGCAATACGTCTTGATGGCTAAAATATCGTGCTTTTGTTTTTGTTTATGGGAAGGACTTACAGGTCTTGGCGCTTGATAGAAAGTTCGAGACCTTTTTAAGGTGCCCTTCGTAAGGGAGTAAATGGAAGATTTGTCAGTCCATCTTTTCTACCCTATTACTTTTAATCTGCGTGGACTGTTAATCTTATTTATTGAAAGCCGCTTGAATTATTTTAAATTTAAGCGTGAATCTTGCCGCTGTCTTAAGGCATCGTGGCCTCCAATGATGGAGAGGAGGGTTCAAGGGTAGAACGCACCAACCATTCAATCCAAAACTGCCCAGTCACAGTATCACTGTTCTCAACGAGTCCCTCAAAATCCGAACATGCGAACACCTTGTCTTGAGGGGCAAACAGGGTATTTTAGAAGTTTGCGGCATGTTAATCTGTCAGATGTTTCGGAGTTAGTCACTCTTTCACTTTTAAAAGGCATCTCGAGGCCTCCTAGTGCTGGCGGACAATGTATCCTCCTTTAGCATCAGGTATAAAGATAGGTGAAGGAGGAGAATTCTGCCTTATCCTTTTCATCTCCTCATTCCAACTTCTAGTGTTTCCTTAGGCAATGAGTGATGACCATCACTCCTTCTTTGACATTTGCTTAACATAACCACATGATCAGATGTGAACCAGACAGTAGACTGTGGAGGCCCCTGGGGCTGCATATTTTGGATTCCAGCGACAAATACCACGTTTTATAAACGGCAAATTGTATTTTTACTCAACTCATTTTGCTTTTTTTGATAAATGTGATATTCCTCGGTCGTTATGACCGACACCTATTGTGTGTTCCCAAAATTTACAATCATGATGTGACTGTGTGACGCTCAGATTCGCAGGCTGTGAGAACCACCAAGATGTTGGCATGAGTCTGCATATGAGCTAACCCGTTAACCTGATTTTTTGGAGGTGCTAATCCAGGATGCTCCGTTTAACCCGGCGTTACGCTTTGGACGACATTGAAACGCCTCTCATCTCAAAAGAGAGATGAAGTAGCGAAACTGTTTTGTCAAACAACTGCAATTTCACCATGCCATGTGATGAGGGCGAACGATTTGTCTTTTAGCGAAATGACACGAAAAGGAAGAAAAAGATGTTTACCACCGATCATAGTGAACAAGTACCAGTAATGCTGGAGAGGGGGTAATGAAGGCAGGTGTTTTGGTTGGCAAGCATTTTCACACTGACATTGACGTGAAAATAAGTCCACTTCACAGCAGCAATAAATAAGACGCGCAACACTCACGGAGTTACAATTCCATGCCCTCACCCCCGCCTCCCCCTAAAGGCCATGCATTGGGCGTTTTCCACCATCGCTTTTACCTCCTCTCTCCTCTGCCCTCCGTACCGCGCCACCTTCGGTCTTCCTCTCTTTGAAAGTCGGTCGTGGGAATAACTGGCCCAGCGTCCTGATCGTTCATTATGCATACACACATACACACACACATATTAATACACACGCGCGAACTTACTTGCAATGGGAGAAATCTGAAGCCACGCTCCATGTATGTCCAAAATTCCCATATACATCCCACGTACCTCTCTTGGCAGGTGTAGCTATGGCAATCCCACCCACTCCACCCTATCCCGCAGTGCTCCTAACTTTCCCATTGTAATTTAGGAGAAGCCACTGGATCTTGCCACTCATTCCCGCTCACGTCCAGCGAAAATTGAGCTCACTGGTGACCTAGGACGTCCTCGACCTTCATTTAGTCAACCAGCGATTGGGGAGGCGACCTCGGAGTTGATCACCTCTCCAAATAGTCTTAACCTCTCACCCACGCGTGACTCCTCACCCCTATTCCTCTTTCACAAATCCCATCCAGACGGAAAAATCAACCATGAACAAGCTTTTGACGACATCTTGCAGTTGGAAGCAGCTGCAGCTTCGACAGGTGGTTTCAAACCTGCATGGACACACCCCAACAATCTTACAGAGAGGGATAGAGCTGTGGTGATCTTGAATCCCAACGAACCGAGGGAAATGTTTGTTGGTGGAGAGGCGAAAGTGCGGCTACCAGTGTGGGCGTACAAGAAATGCGTCTACATGGTAGGACGAGAACAAAAACGTCCGGCAGCAAGATTGTGTCTCTGCTTGCTTCAATCCCTCTTCAGCCTGCGGTATCTAGTTAGCCACAACTATAGTGGATCAAGACAGAAACGTCCAATCGACCCAGTCGTCATGAAAGCAGTCCTAAGGCAAGCAATGATGCAGTTTAGCAAAAGTGATAACGTCCTTCCCGGGACAGAATTCTCCCAAGGTAAACTGCGAGACTACCTCAACAATGCTTTTCGCGTAATGGCGTTCCGAAGAAGACGTGGTGATCGGGTCAAATCACCTTTTTGGAATGACGCTGGAGAACCGATTCTCAGCTTGGATCCGCCCAAAGATTTTCGTCTAAATGACATCATTCTAACAAAAATTCTTCCCCCTTTTCGATAGTTTTTAACACTCCGCGCAGCTTTAAGAACCTTCTTTCATTTCTCCCTGAGTCAAAATGTTATACCAACAAAGAACTGCTCTGAAAAATTTGCAGATATCCAGCCTCTGACAACCTGACCAATTAAGTCAGTTGGTATCCAATCTGAGGTTACCTAATTACGTAGTAACGGATCTGATTTATGGTTGACCAGTGTAATTTATGCAAATTCTCTTCGCATTTGACATAAATATCTATTAATCGAGTAGCATATTATTATGACTGAACTTATTTTGCAAAATGCTGTCAAAACTCTGAAGCTTTGAGGAGATATTGACGATGAGATTTGCATGAAGTAATAGGAGTTTAATGACAATGATGTGATTGTGAGTGGGAAATGACCGAAACAGGAAAGTATTTTTCCCACTGACACAATGAATGGTAAATAAATGGGGACGCACTTTCTTACCAAACAATATTTTAAGCCCATTAAATAAGGAAAGTGCATGAATAGTAATTGACGCATTCTTAGGTCTTGTTTAAGGTTACCTGAGATTGGTTCCCTTTGCTAACGAATCCGGTTGAGGACATTTTTATTAATTTTCTAAACAAAATGATGTTAAAATTAGCAATGTCTACATTCTGTAGTATGTTATGCTTACGAGGGTGGTCTAGTGCAGTCGTAGCATTCGTATGTGGTTACGATAACCACACAAATTAGGACTGAAAAAGTTTTATGCACGGTTGCTAGGTCATTCGTTCCGACTACCCTCTAATCTAGTAGTTACAGGTCTCCGGTGTCTTCACAATAAGAATTTCACTCTTTTCGTTTCGATTCGCTAAATACCAACAAAAGGATGGAGTAATTGTTTCCATCAAGAACATCATATTAAGCAACTTAAGACGAGTTCTTGAGACCCTTGGATTATTTGAATAATATAAAATATTATTCTGTTACGCTATGTTATCTCGCCGGTGAATATGCTTCCGTGATATCTAGCAGGACTAGGAGTAAAAATGGGAAACAGCGTCTCAGAATTCTCTATCATCTAAACTGTAAAAATTCACCGAATTCCTCACGCGTCACAGGCATTCAAAAGTATATTTCACCATTGTCTTCCTGGCTAGTAAAATAAAATCGTGCCCTCTGCCTTCAAAGCATTATACCTTCCCTGTTTAGCAATGTGACATATCACGGCACAAACGTACAACAACTGCAGGCTACACGAGTGGCTGTCACTGATATTAAGAGGAAATTTTATGGCAATAAATCATTTGCGCCTGTATTGAGAATGATAAGGACAGATTAAAATTTGCAAAGTTGCATCTTAAGGAACGCACTATCTGTTGGGAGTATGGTTCCCTTTACCACAATAGCATACTAAGAAGAGCGACTAGGTGTTAAAAGAAAAAAAAGGTGTAATGATGTCATGCTTTAGTAGTCGCGAGGCTCCAGCCTGTTCACCCTCTCCTGGCTATTCTCAATGACTTCGTAGGGTGGCTTGACCTGTGAATAACGTCGGTGGCAGCAATCCACTCAAATTTCCAAGTAAAAACCTCAATTCGAAAATTATATTTTTTTGTCTTCAGGAAAGGCAATAGAACAGGGGTCGGTAATGCTATTTACAATGCAGTATTTTGAAATACATTTTTTGGCATGATTCAGTGGGATCTTAGCAAACATGAGCTCTCCATTTCTTTAATAGTATAGCTCCGGCGCGCAGTCCTAAAGGCTACTGACTCCAAGATTCGGATGACATTCGTGCAAAAACTTTTACAGAACACTAAAAATACTGATCTATGATCACCATTGTGAATTTTATGATGCCAACAATACTCTTGTCCTTATCTAATGAGCAGGAAAATTGGAAGGTCAGAAACCCACCACAGTCCGTTTATCTAAATAAGCAGTTAATCAAAATCAAATTGAGTGGAACACAATGCATCCGCACAAAACAATGGAATCCAGACTTCTAGCACGACAGAGAGGCCTGCCTGCATTGACCGCAGTTAAAATAGGTCAGGCAAACAAATCTAAGCGTAAATTACTTAAAATTAACGAAAGCGAATAAAGCATGATGGATCTTTTTACAAAGTGAATAGTAGGAATTTCGATATATATAAATGCTATAGGCGTCTTTATTAACATTTTAGAGTACATTGCCCATTTTATTAAATGTGGTTCTTTAAAAATGCCCTTTGTATGGAATATGCGGGGAAGCAAATCGAACACGTCGTTCGACACGTTGCCATGGCTGCTGTAGCCATGCTTTACTTGCACTTACTTCGGTATTCAGCGTGCAAACCATAAGCCGTTCCATATACCTACACTACGCGCATCCTTCCCCAAAATGACATGGATCCAGACAGCTGGATGGGATATTAACAAAACTGACTATCAGTTACGCGGCATACAATCGCGATATTAGATTTTTTCGGCAGGTTGCAGCAGGCTGATATCCATTAAATCAAGGAAATACTTAAATATATGAACGTATAAACAAAAAATCAATTAACACCAATATCAAAACTATAGAAAAATATAAAAGTTTGTAGATTTGCGTAAAGAATGCATAGGATACAACCTAGCCGCCATGCGAATACAACATGACGTTCATTTATCGTATTAATATCTAATAATGTGGATTAAGACCTATATTTTATGCATAAATATCTTATTTTTAAACTAAAATTAAATTGTTCTTATGCGTTAAATATACGAAAACATTTCCTTTGTGTGCAACCTTAATTGCTTGTTTTAACCCATCAGCTGAAGCCACACTTCAGTCGTGCGAGTTTTCGGACTTGTTCTTCTCGGAGGTGATGTATGCTTTGTATTTCTGAAGAATGTGTTTATTGAATATAATTCAGTGATTTTTCTTCGCACTGCGCATCGTAGGGAGATTTTGCACCATAAAAGTTTATTTGATGAACTTATACATGCGTTAATTGTGACAGATTCGTATTTGTTAGACTGATACGCTATGATTACTAGGCGATGATTTGATGTAACTGTTAGTCTTGTGTAACCATTCATTCTACCTATGATATTATTTGCTCTGCCTGACGGAGCTTGCTCTAATTTGCAAATCTTTTTAAATCATACCATCACTAAGGCTCTTATCCGTTTCCCACACACTTTATTATTTCTTTAACTTGTCCTTTTAACTTCTGAGACCTAGTGATAAGAATTTGTTGTTTCTGTTTTACTTATGTGAAAGCTCTTTGCCGCGTTGTTTGTTATATCCATCCATCGTTAGGTAAATTTGTGTTGGTTGTCGGTTAGTCGCGGCCGTAATATGGCCACTTCCGCTTTTAAAAGTATGTGACGAATGATTTTGAGGTACTTTTGCACGTTTTGGAAAAATTTTTATATAGTTTTTTACTGAGTGTTAATAGTTGAGGCTCAAATTTATATAAGTTTTCACATCCTCCATTATAATGAACCTTGCCTGCTGAATTACCGTTCCATCTTTTTTACTCCAGTGGCGTCTGTGTAACAATCTTTGAGCCATTGGTCATACTTCTTCACTTTGCTCACTAAAAGAGCTCGTCTTGCATTTTTTTCCCGAAATTTCACCCTTTATCATAATGACCTCAGTACGTACCCTACTTCACCTTAGAACGGTTGGCTACATTAACCTCTAACTTGCCACCATTCTTTAGGATGCCTTGGGCTTTCCCTGCTGGGTAAGTTCGCGGTAGCATTAGTAGTGTCAAAAGGTACTTACCATGCGGTTGCATGCTTCTAACTAAGTTCCATCTAACCATTTAATTGACGCTTGTACTTTGATTTTCCTTCCTTACACTTTGCCTGTACATAAACTCATTTAACATCTGCCATCCACAGGAATATGCGTCATTGTGTTGTTTACAATTTTTGCATGTCTTAGGCTTTATTTTATGCAGAATGATATAGCCAGGAGTTTATGTTTTGTCACAAATTATGGCGTCTGCTTCGACAAAATTAGTTCCATGTGCTTGCCCACTCTCTGTCTCCCTCCCTCTGTGATGTATTAGTTCTCCTGCCTCTGTTAGTTACGCTGCGCCCCCCTCTCAACCAATCAGGTTTGGCTTGTCTCCAACCAATCACAGCGTGCCTAAGAAAATTTCGAGCTTTTACGTCGACGTTTTGCCTCTGCACTGGCAAGGCAGATTTATGAGAGAAAACGAGCGATCGCGGATTTATTTGGCGGACTCAAATTAAACTGATCGTGTGTTAACGGCCCCATTGTTTTTCATCCTCTTTAAAAGCCTCAGTATTGTTTTGCTGAGTCACTATATACACGATCTTTGCGAGTCGAAACAGGCACTGGGTCCATGCCTTTCGTCTCCTTTCTTGTGCCCGCATGCGAACATGATGCATACAAACACACACCCACCCTTCGCCGTACCCGTGCACACAGTTGCGGCCTGTAACGACTAACTCTTCGTTTGGGCGTTGCCCCCTTCGAGCTTCGATGGTCTGATTAACAAGGCCAGTGCAGATGTTTGCTTCACCATCGTCTTCCTCCTTCAACCCAGCAACTACCATATAGGGCGAGTCTCTAAGATCTATACCCTGCCACGAAATACCTTCATCTGATTTCTTGACCTCTACGCACGTTTCGGGATTAAGGTACTTACAGCCTCCAGTTAGGTTTGTTGCTATGGTGATATGTCTGTATTTGGAAGCTCGCCGCTTAGTAAGGAGGTGGATGGGGGCAGGGAGGGCGAGTTGAGCAAAGTCCAAATTGCCTTAGGTCGCGTATATCCTCAGTTATGGTAGAATGGTTCAAAACAAATTTTTTTGCTTCATTGTTGATGTGTTCTAATCTTAATGTCATCCGTTCCTCCTTCTTCTTTCCCCTCTTGCGTGAGCATCGATTTGGAGGAGATTAATTTCTGTCTTTCCTCCTCCTCATTTCACTCCCTTACTTTGTTTGAATGTGCTTCTACTTGAATGTAGACCTCCAATGGTTGGCGATAGTCGACGACTGGCCTTGCGAATCCACGTGCCTGATGCTGATGTGACAAAAACTCTGGTTTTTGATGCCCTCATGACGGTGGGACAGGCCTGTGATCAGATTCGTCATCAAATTCGTGAAATTGATGGACTCGATAATCGTAAGTTCTTTCGCCATTTCGACCTGATCAATGAAGGCTTTATGCCATTTCATTGGCGGATCGGATTGGTTTCCCACCTGCTTGCCTTAATACCAAGCGAAGGTTAGGAGATTAAGGGGAAGGCGGGTATCATGCCCCCATTCTATTATTTAAGTAGTGTGTCCTGAAGACCACAGCCCCTGTCTTATTGTTTCCGTAGGGGGTATCCTCTCTCAGCGGCTCTGATCCCCTAGTGCAATGACACTGGGAAAGTGGTCGCTCATTTTTCATACAAAATAGAACTGAAAACCTGTAAATGACATCATGACTATGCCTCTAGGCAAAGGCATAATTTCATTTCAAATATCCGAGAAGCCAAGCTGTGTGAGCTATGGCTTAAGTATTCCCTCACAGATGCAATGACAACTTGCCTCTCTCTTCACAGCCAAAGACTACGGTCTGTTTCTTCCTCATGAGGATAACAAGAAGGGCCTCTGGTTGGACAATTCTCGTAGTCTAGAGCACTACATTCTACGTAATGGGGTGAGTGTCGATGGTTCATTTCAACTTGGTAAGGCAGCACATCTGTGTGTTCACTTGTTGCCATTGTGTGTGTCGGTGTGTGTTTGCGTGTGTGTCTATCCCACGTCCCACACACGGGCTGTTCTGCCTCCATTGATCGTGCATTTCCCCTGTCTCACCTTTTTCAGTGTGTGTGTATGTATATATATTTTTATATATATACAAACTTGTATGTGTGGATCGTCAACATGTGGATGTCAAATCGGTGCCAAATCCACATCTGTGTCCATTTGGAAATAAGTCCAGCAGTCTCAAATATGTCGTTTCGAGAATGGGTGGATCAAAGTTGGACACGTGAGGCAGCATTCCAACACATGCACATGCACACATGCACGCTCATTGGTAGCTTCAAAACGGTTGTGGGTTTCACTTTACTTTGTGCCTCCGTTGGTGGGATACATCGCTACGCACACGTCCACCTACGCATCGCCACAGCTTTCTGGACTTGGTTCGCCACGTTTGCGTGTCAGCCATTCCGAGGTGGGGTAGGACACGCTCATCTTTGCATCATCTCCTGAATGTGAGCGTAGGTGTGTGTGTGTGTTTGTGTGTACATTAAATGGATGACTTTGTTTGCCAAATCTACCTGTCCTACTGCATCACGAAGGTCGGTGAAAGAAATTGAAAGAAGGCGGAAAAACGTGGCTATTGTTTTGCTTTGCCAAGGCAACACATTTCGTACCAATGCAATAGGGATCTTGGGTGGGTTCACACACATTCACGAAGCCACGGCAACTGTTTCCCTCTGATCCAGTTCATGTTTGTTGAACTTCACTTTTCTTTTTTCCCGAGTTCTGTTATCCCTTTCGGGTCTGCTATCAGTATCCGGTTGTGTCCTTTTTTATCTGTTCAACCTGCATCGGTCCTTGCTTTTATCAAGAAGGAGGGGATTGGATTTGCCTCCTTAGTTGTATCCTAATAGAGGAAAAAGTGTATTACTTCCTTAGTAGAATCTCCTCCTTCCCATTTGTTACCCACTTTTTTTCCATATTTGATGTACAATTTCTCTTAGTCACCTTTGCGAGGATACATTTCCTCCTGACAGATGACAGGATGATGTGGTGGTTATTCAGCCAGATGGGAGTTACTTTTTGTTTCCTCTTCTCTTCATTGTTTGTGTGAGGTCTCGTTACGAGAGACAGTGGAGGTGTCACTTACTAGTGCAAGGTTTTCCGCATTCCTCTTCCCCTTCTAGTGAAATCTAGAACCAAAGAAATGCCTTACTTTTGTAGTGAAACTCTTTCAATCCCTCCTTTTCTTTACACTATCAGGCCATGTTTTTTTTGGGCTTTCTGCCCCTTAGGAACTGTGAGAAGAACGCGATTTGGAGAGCAACAATAGCCACTCCCATTAGATCTAAAAGTAGGCATTTGCAGCGCACGCAAATCTGTGGGTAATTAAATTCCTTCGTGGTACACACACATCCACGTGCCAAACTTAATGAGTCACAGTTAGGGTCAAGAGGTCCGCGTTCATCACTTTTAAATGAACCATTTTGCCTCTTTGCCTTCTACGTCTGATGATAGATCGTCTGCCTGAGTAATAGCCCTTTTAGTAAGTTAAGATCTATGCCGGGGATGGAAGTCATTACCTACTGGGAAGCACTACGGCGGTCAGAGTTTGAAGGCGGGACTTTCTTTTAGCATGGAGGGTATAACTACCCTTCCCTTATATCCTTTGGGAAGCAATAAATTCTCACTCCGCTTAGTCATTTGGTAATCTTGAAAATCTCATTCATCGTTTATTTTTTCCCTGTTATTTGCTTCAAGGACACAATTGAATACAAATACCGATTTCGATGGCTGTACATCCGTACAATGGATGGAACGCGTAAAACCCTTCGAGTGGACGATAGTAAAACTTTGGCCGAATTAATGCTTCCTATTTGCACAAAAATGGGTACGTTTCAAGCTTTTCCCTACAATATCTTGCCGTTGATTTGATTGGTTTATGTTGATTGGTGAGAATTTTCAGCCCCTTGATTGGCTGTCTCGCCATTATTGGTTTGCCTTTTAACGGGTACAGGAAATGAAGGCAGATCACGTGATTTTTATCTCCTCAAGAAAAGTAGAATAACTATTAGAATATCTTGTCCATTTGACCTTTAAAGTTGTTTGGGTTTGTCGAATGGCACATAATTGCACTCTTCTACTATTGTTGATCCCAGCTTGATATGAGTATGGTAGAGTTAGTCTCGAACACAGTCTGCTATCTTAGCCTCGATAGTGAAACACTGAATTCCTGCACTTCTATTACTTCGTAGCTCATGGTACTCTTCATGTAGAGGATTCTGGGCATGGTATCCCATCATGATAAACTGCCTTACTGTAGTGTGCGACTATGGGTTGGCTGTGGTTTACTTCCTTCTCGTGCTACTTGGCAAGGCAGAATAGCGTTGCAAACAGGCACACCTACGTTAAACAGGGACTGCTGCAGGCTGTCTGCTATGTTAGTAAACAGTGTCTGGTTTGGACCGGTTACCACATATGCACTAGTAACAGGACCCGCCACTTGTCCCACTTGTCAGTGGCAGCCTAAAGGTGTCATTTCTTATTGCATCTGAGTAATCATTGGTCCCGTTTTAACCCACTCAGTAGGCAGAAGTGGTGATCTCTTGGTGGTTCCCGTTCCCCGCGTCGACACCTCATCAGTCGTACAGCTGGTCATACCCAAACACTGATGCCTTACCAGTATCCCAGGTATTGACACACTTGGTAGGCAATCTTGACCTTCTTAAGATTCCTTCCATTCAATGAGTCACGCATAAGGATATGGGAGAGGTATAAAATCATCTAGTCGCGCCATGTGTTCCAGACCGATGGCCAGTCAGAAGGACAGAGGCGTTGGGGAAGGGGAAGGCAGGCGGACGGATGTACTTACACCCTGTTCTAAAGAAAGAGCGTGAGACTTTGTCTAAGCGAATGTCTCTCGTCCATCCACTTCTCCTGAGTCACCGTGCGGGCACAAGCTAGGTGACTAACCCAGGTCCCATTGCCTGCACCCGTCAGTAACATTATTTTACAGGGTGGACTGTGGAAACGCGAGTCTCACCGAAAAGACCCAGATTCGAGGAAAGTTGGGATGTCCTCCATGTTATCAAATAAATGGATGTGTATTTCCTCTATTCAGGCATTTATAATTACGAGGAGTATCTTCTGGTACGCGATACAGAGGAGGCAGAAAAGGAGCGAGGCGTAACCCTAAAACGTGCTCATCACCAAAGCGGTGGATTGGTGGGGACTCTTCGAGACGCCGATAAGATGGAGAAACTTCGCAAAGAACTTCACACTGATGATGAAGGTGAGTGAAATTCAGAAGTGCATGCGATTTTGCACGTTTCTTGAAAATCACCTCAAGGTCGCGTTGTGATTGGCTACCAACGCATCTACCTTGTGTTGATGCTAGTATCACTTCCTGATTTGGACTTTTTCTCCAAAAAAATGGGAAGCAGAAATTAAATATGACTCATCCTAATAGGGAGTTCCTTTGCGTTGATGTCCAATAGCAGAAAGTGCTAGCCACAGCTCATTTTTACTGCTTTGTCTGGATCACTCCATCCTGTGAAACGAACATCAGAATTATATCCATTCTAACCTTTTCATGAGATTCCTCTCCTCATTCTCTTCCCTCAAGTGATTTGGCTCAATCCGGCTCAAAGTTTACGACAACAGGGGATCGATGAAAAGGAGATTTTGCTCCTTCGCCGACGCTACTTCTTCTCGGACATGAATGTGGATGCTAGAGATCCAGTCCAGTTGAATCTTCTCTATGTTCAGGTGGGTAGTGCTCCACTTTTCTCGGACCAACTACAATTCGCTTATTCGCGCGTTCGTCCAAATTCAGAAAAATAAATCTGCCCTTCAAATGTAGCGGGTTTTCGTTCTCGCCTCTGATTGGTCGCTTGAGGTGAAGGTGATATTCCCCACCCATTCCTCTTCCCCTGTGCCTTCATGCACACGCCTGGTTGCGTAGGTGTATGTGAGTGTGCATACAATCATTTCCTCCCTTTTCCCTTTAAAAATACCATTTTATAGCAAAAAGACATCGTCATTCACAGAACAGCGTAAGGATTGGGCGATTGGCCTTTCCTGGGAAAGATGGAGTGATGAAGAGGGAGATATTATCTCACCCTTCACTATTTTAACGAAATTAAGTGAAAGGGCATCTCAACACTTTACACTATCCGCAGCACGCATACGTTAAATTTGGAGCTCCTTTGTTTAGCATTCTATCGCATGATGCATAATCGGGGACGATGTGCTTCTACCCACATACTGATAAATGGGTGCACCAAATTGTCTCAGGGGCATTAACAGAGCCTGGAATGGTGGAATGGGTGGAGGAAAGTGTTTAGAACGTTCATTGTCCATTGACACGGAGACTTGTTGCCATATGCTTAAGTAGTTAGACATCTGGCCGCCTTTCTTTGGAGGTGCCTTAATGCCGATGGATAAGGCCAGTTAATCGGAGACCCTTTGAATGTATAAAAGTGGGTTAAAAAACAACATTCTTGAGTATTTATTAAGGAAAGAAAGGATTGGTGTGACCCCATTCATCATTTCTGCACTTATAGAAAGCAGCGGTATCGCTGTATACGGAGATCTGATCTTAGCGGTTCCTGTCAAACATGTAAGGTCTTTTCCTGTACCCGATCAGAGGAGAGCATTATATGCTCTAGGTGAGAGCAGCATTAGGGAAGTTGTTCAATGAAAAATAAGCGTTTTCCTTTTTTTTATTCTTCACAAATGCTCTTCCATTCCCAACTGCCTTCCTGATCTCTGCCTTCTGTGAGGCGGTATGATTGTGTGAACCTGGTGCCTCTTGTCACACCTTAAGTGCTTTGGGCATCATATTCTACTGCAAGGTTGTTTCCTTCCATCCTTCTCGTCATTTTGTTACAGCCAATTGCATTGAAGTGACTCATTCACCACTTTTCGCCTCACTCCTTGAAGGGGAATTTTGTCCAATCACGCTCTTAACAGAAAAGGCCTCATTCTTCTATCTACTGCAAAAACAAAAATATATAATTATATGAAATTTTTAATATCAAAATGCCACACGAGGCATCAGGTCTGCCCTCACTTCTGATTAGTCCAGCGGCTCGACTAAATTTGTATCATTTTGTTTAACTTTTGAGACGAACGAGGCAAAGATGGGCCTTCTAGTGACTGAACCCTCGGGACCACCACGTCACTTGTTCTCGGGGTCTTGGATTAACCGTGTTCTCTCGCCTATTGTGTACTTTTGTGAGATGAACGTTCACCAGGACACGGTTCACACATCCTCTATCCCACTAGTCCTTTCTACAGGGTGTTTCGTTTATACTTTTTTTTGCGTGTGGGGTCAGCTGTGACCTTTTTTTACACCTAAATCAGGTAATGCCATCTGAATGTACCTTGTTTAGTGAGGGTAACGATCCCATCCATTTCCTTCGTATCTGATTTTTTTGGTGGTACATATCGTCCATTTACTGCACTCTTACAAGTCCTATCCGGAAGGTGTTTCGTATTGCAGTAGTTCCAGCATCTCCTCCACATCCACCTTGCACGGAGGGTAGGGAAAGAAAGTCGACTTTCAGTCCTCCTTTCTTCCTCCACTCATCTTCTATGATTGATATGCCTCTAATTTTATTAAATGTTGGTGTGTGACATTTTAGGCCTTTTATTCAACTGATAAAAAGTGAATCGTGGCAACGTCATTTAACGACCTCCAAGGCACCAACTTAATCCGCTATCTGTTGGAAGGACTACCGCTCATACTGTTATCTTCCTCCTCTTTTTTCTTATCTTGTGAGGAAGATAGGCTCATTTACATACGACCTTGGGCTTGAGGGTTCAACTTCTCCCCAAGTTAGACTACTTTGGCCACTAGCATGTTTTAAATGCTTCACGTTGGGCAGAATAATGATGTAGAAGCATTGTTTATGCCTCGAGATTGACTGCAAAATAAACATGCATTTGTCTGCTTTCCTACGTCTCTTTTTTTATCAAGCATCACACGCTAATTTCAAAAATAAGCTTATAACTGTGTCACATACTACTTGCAACTTACCAGTATAACTGGATCTTTATAGATTAGATTGATTGGGCTGTAAATTGATAGTAAAAGTAAAAAAATTCGCGTGTTAGCTAGTTAAATGGTTAAAATGTCTTAATTTATCAAATTTAACACAAAAATCCTATCAAATTTATGGTATCTACAAGCCCTTGGTGTTGTGAAAGGTGATGAACTGTCCTGTCTACCGAGGTGAGGTTCCTTTCCCTTTGCCATTCCTAATGCTTCCTGTTTTTTTTGTAGCTGAAAGATGCCATTTTAAATGGCACCCATCCCGTCACCTTGGAGGAGGCGGTCACATTGGCAGCACTTCAGTGTCAAGTGGAGCTGGGAAATTACAGTCCGAATAAATTTAGACCTGGATATTTGGAGTGAGTGTCTACACCTAAGCAATAAGTCGAGACTTTTGGGTGTGTGTGTAAATTTATAGACCTGAAGACAGTCAGTCATACCTTAAAAGGACCACAATGCGTGCTCGGATTGTGCGTACACATCCGCCCTTCCATAAATATTCCACGAAGTAGTCCATTGGCTATGCAAGGGAGGCCATTCGTAAAATTTAGGAAGATGAAGGTGGCTCAACAATAGTTGTGCTCTACTCCGGAAGTGATTTAACTTCTCCCATTTTTTGGTAGTGGAGGGGAGGGGGAAGAGGACTGAAGGCGGCTAAAGATCTCCTTTTTTCATTGTCTAACTGCTCTAGAAGTGTTGGTCTCTGTGCCACTGGATGAGCAGTTTAGCCTTGCAAGAATTGACAGTGTCAGGCATTGAAAGATCACCTGTCTGATGCGTGACAAAGGTGGGAAGGTGGGACGAGAGATTGGATGATTCCACAATTGCCTATCAAAAGTACAAAAACCCTAATCGCTTATCCTTTTCTTTTCCTTCGCCTATTTAGTCTAAAAGACTATCTTCCAAAGGAGTTCTTGAAGGTGAAGAATGTAGAGAAGAAGATATTTCAACAGCATGCCACTCTAAATGGTCTCTCGGACATTGAGGCTCGAGTCAAGTACTGTCATTTTTGTCGATCTCTCAAGACCTATGGCATCACCTTTTTCCTTGTCAAGGTGAGTCCCATTTATCCTTGATCACAAGGCAGTTTTTGTATCGCGTTGATTGCGCCTTTCCCGCGGGGTGACTGATCACAGGACAACTTTCTACTGACAGAGTTAATCCCCAATGTCATTACTCAAATATTTCACCATTAAGTGGTGACGTGTTTCATCTCCACCCTCCTTGCGTATTGTATTAGTTTTGACAATACGACAACATGATGTATCATCTGAGCTGCACTGGTGCCATTGTCACCTTCACCTAGCTGATCTAGTCTGACGGAATTTTTGTTCACTGATCATGAGACAGAGTTGTTGCCCATCTCTAGTCTCGTTAAGTAGGCCCACTTTGGCTTAAACAGCCTTTGTAATATAAATGCATTCATCTTAGTGTCAAGTATCAATGTGTTGTTTACGCATTCCTGTGTTTTACTACCACAGAATAGGTGAACATAAATGTTTTAAACCGCTTATTGTGTTTCTAAAACCTGGTACTTTGTGGTTTAAGTAAAAACGCCAACTGGTTGCGTTATCAGGATACAGTCGGTGCAGAGTACCAAATGCTGTGCCTCTTAAGGACGTAAACAAATTTATTCAATCGCACACACACACACACACACACACACATCAGGGCGTGTATTCTTCTGTTAAAATAGAGGCGCCTTTCGGTTCCTGTTTACCCACCACCTTAATTAATCAACGCAATTTATGCTAACTTTTGACCCAACTTCACGAGTTATTTTTGCTGTTGCTAGGAGAAAATGAAAGGCAAAAATAGACTGGTTCCTCGCCTCTTAGGCATTACAAAGGACAGTGTGGTACGATTGGATGAACGCACAAAAGAGGTGGTCAAGGTCTGGCCTCTCACCTCCATCCTTAAATGGGCTGCTTCGCCTAATGCATTTACTATGGTAGGCTTTCCCCTGATTCTGTTTATCTCGATTCCAGTGTTTATAGTATTTAGATTCCTTTTTCGTATTCTTCTCAAATGCTTGTAGTTGTGATTTGTCTACTCCGATGGCCAAACTATCCATATTGGAGGCTTGTCACATCGAAATCTTGATCGCCTTACTTGTAGAGTTTTTTTAATTCCGATCATCTGAATTTGTGAACACTTTTTGAGTGTCCTCGTTGCTGATTGGTGGGCAGGGTGGGTTTAACTTTTTCTGAAATCCCATTGGCTAAAACACTTGGCTCTATGCCAGTTGAGTTCCTATCGAAGCACTTCTAAAACCTTCTCTTATTAGATGTTTTTTGATAACCCCACTCTATGGCACCTTTAGTGGTAAAACGACCATAATATTTAATTCTTTTCGAAGACTAAAAAATAATACTATTATTACCGAGATGTAGAGCCCCGTCATCTGCGCTCAGTGTGCCTGACTTTAATCTTTTGTTAGTCATTGTATATCTGACACTTTTTGTCTTTCTCATAGGTAACCAGCCTTCGTTTACCTTTTAACTCTATACCTTAGTACACTGAATCACGAAACCATCGACGAAAGGTTATTATTTGTTCTATATGAGATTGATCTATCAATTCAGCTGTTCATTCGTCTGTTTAAATTGGAGGCTTTCCAAGAAAGTTCATTTCAGAAACGAGGTTGGGGGTTGTTTATCTGTTTAGCAAACCCATTATGATATGTCCCACTGCACTTTGAGGCGGGATAGATGTGCTCTATCCTCATCCCCTTTTTCCTCGCCTTCCAATACTGGTAGTCAGTGGACAGACGGCGGTGATCGGACTGTAAACATCACGCTTAATTATGCATCCATTATACCCAATCCCTTCTGTGCCTCCTTTCCTATCATCACGAAATACTAGCTGTCAAGCCGCGAGTGTTGATACAGCACCATGGACTTTTCACATCGAACTTTACTTCTTTTACCCGAAAATCTGAATGAAATTGCCATATCATATGTTCTCACTTTGTCGTCTAGGACTTCGGTGAATATTCTCCTGATGAATACTACACAGCACAGACAGCAGAAGGGGAACAGATTTCTCAGCTAATTGCTGGATACATTGACATTATCTTAAAGAAACAGAAGGCTCGTGACCACCAAGGTCTCCAAGGTGACGAGGAGTCTGCAATGTACGAAGAGAATGTTAGAGCAGAACGGTGAGTTGTCCTTGTGCTTATGCTACTGATTCCATTAAAGTAGCTTTCCTCAAAATGCGCCCAAACCAAACCGGTTTCTTTTAGAACTGAAAGGCACATTTCTCTATAGTCTTTTCTTAAGATGGTTACATGATTGCTTCTTGTTGTCTCATTTTGTGTTGTGCCATCGCTGACTGAATATGGCTGATGTCAATTTTTAATTCGCTCTATTTTAGTGCCAAATTTGTCCACACCGAGCGTCGATCAGTGGGACCAGCCGATCGGATACGTGAGCACACAAGAGTTGAGGAGATAATTGAAAAACAACGCTTCCAACAGCCACAACAGGCAATACCACCACTTTTGAATGGAACAGCTCAACAAATCGTGGTCAATGATGATGACAACAATATGGTCGGCTATATTGGCACCTCAGAGAGACGATATATCCAAGCTGGATCAATTCCAACACTTAGTAGCGAAATCACACGTGTTAAAGGCGATGACACTACTGATGACTTCATCACTGGTGGTGTGCGTTTCATTTAATCTGTTTTGTGATGGCTTAAGTCATTCTCGAAGATAGGTGAGGGATTGAGGATCTCACTTTCCCATATCTGTGCATGTGTTTTAGACCCAATACTATGTGTGCAAGACAATGACACCTGCACAACGTGCGTTGCATGTGACAATAGAGGAGAACATTAATGCACTGGAGGAGGGTAAACAGCGGCTGGATATCGGTCCACCGACTGAGAGAGTGCTGGTTAACCTGGGACACGATGAAGCGTCTCGCCGGTGGTTGGATGAATCAATGGGAGTAACGGAGGTGCGAGTTGCCGACGAGATGGGAGCAATGAATGCAGCGGTTGCGCAGGCTGTGCGTTCCGCCAATCGTGCTGACTCGATGGGAGGAGGCGGTGTCCGTTTCGGTGTCGCAGAAGTTACTGATCCCTCCGATGACCTTATGCGTATGCAGCAGTCCTTCCGAGTGGTTACGGTACACTTTCCAGCTTTTGTGGACAATGTTAAACGTGTTGCTGTCCTTCGAAGAGAATCAGGTCTCCTTCGAGCTGAAGATGAACCCAATGAACAACTGCGTTATGATATAGCAGACCAATCAGAAGCGAATGCACAGAACCTTCTAGGAGCAGCTAGAACTGTTGCGGATAGCTTCACAGAGCTACTGAAAGCTGCTACACCACTCACCACTCGCCAGGTATAACATCGTATTTTTTAACCAGTAGAATCGCTGTTCACTGAATATCTAATTCACTCCATCCTCCTTCCACACTTTAGACAGACTACGACCTGGATACTGTGAATTACGTGACGGAACAAGGTTCACAAGTTGCTGGATCCTCTCGAAAGGCTATTTTGGAGGCTGCTAACCGCGTCGGGGAAGCTAGCAACGACTTCCTACGCCACGTCTTGCAGGATACAGAGGTTATAGAGGGAGAAATTATTCCAGAGGTGGATGAGCGCGCCTACCAGGTGAGAAGTTGGTCACTATCGTACCTTAAGGTACCTCTATCATTGCCGTCATTCTATTGTCCGCCTTCCTTCATTCTGACAGCCATTTTCGGACCTCGGTAGTCGATGAGAATGCGTGATGAGCGTGCTCAAAAAAATACTTTTGTGTGCTGTTTAGCCATACACGCTTATAATTTCAACTCCCCTCTCTAAAGCTCTAACCGCAGCGGTTAAGGGTTTCACGGCTCCCTTCTTCCTTTTTCTTCGGCCTCTGGCCCCTGTCATCAATCCTCATCTTTTTGACTTGTAGGCTGATCCACTAGCCCTCTATCAGGTTAGTCGTGTAGATGTGTACACTACGGTCTAGCTGCTGCACCACCTCTGTTTGATAGCGTGTGTTTCTAGCTTTGGACTTCACCCAATGGGTCAACTCTAACAAACCTGGCTACTTTTGTCTCTCCTAGGATAAGCTCTTGGAATTGGCGAAGGAAGTCGCCAATTCTACAGCTGTTCTCGTAGTTAAGGCCAAGAATTTGGCCACTCAGACAAACTTGGATCCGGATCATCAACAACTGGTTGTCATGTCTGCCACCAATACTGGTCTTTGCACCAGTCAGCTGGTTGCTTGCACTAAGGTAACTTTGAATAACCTGATAATTGATTCTCAAAATAAGAGGAATTCATAGATAAAGGCTGCATATGCTTTGTTTATAAATTGTCTAGGTGCTTGCACCAACAATTCATCAGGCATCCTGTCAGCAACAACTTTCGGAATCAGCTTGTGAAGTAGCAACTGCAGTTGATGATGTTGTTCGTATTGCTCGTGGTGCTGGTCAAGCTGTTCATGACACTATTGGACTCTCCGAACCCGAAGTCCACGAGATCAATTCTGCTGTAATGGAAGTTGAGGGTGCTGCTACAGAAGTTCGCACTTCCCTAGATCGTCTCAACGCTCATCTTATGCATGGTTCAATTAGGGTGGGCACTATATTATATGGTTAATTTTTCCTACTTTAATAAGTTTAAGTACAATGAATTTCTTGTTTTTAGCCATATCAGGGAGATACGCTAGACCTCTTCCAGCAGGCCTATGATGAGCTTCGTCAGGAGACAGATGGTGTTCGATTGGTCGCAGCAGCTAGACGTCTATCTCAAGTCACTGCACAGATGATATCCGATTTGAAGGTGCAGGCAGAGAATGTGGAAGGTGATCCAGAACGTCAGACCCGTCTCTTCGCTGCTGCTAAACAATTGGCCGACGCTACCACCGACCTTATTAATCAAGCCAAGGTAGGATTCTCGGAAGTGCAGCCCTTGTACTTTCTAAGACCTCTCATAAATTGATTGTGGAATTGCTTTTAGAATTGCTCAAGCGATCCGGACTCCCTTACTCGGCAAGCAGACTTGAAGCATGCGGCTGACGATCTTGTTGTTGTGGCCTATGCGTCAGCAGCTGAACTATTGCACGCTCGTGTAATTCGAAGTCTTCAAGCCGCAGCTAGGGCTGTTGTCAGTGCTTCCAACAATCTTATTACAACGAGCCATTACGCTGCTAATAAATCACGTGCAAATAACTACCACGTAAGAAGATAGTTTGGTGACAGCTCATATTTAATTAGGACATGTGAGGCTTACTTAATCGACTACGCTCGATTTCTCATTTTCTAGATATTTACGGATGAGAAAGCAGTTTCTGATCTACTGCCTAAAATGGTGGGGGCTATTCGTTTCATTCGTCGCGATCCAGAGGATCCTTTGGCTCAATTGGAGTTAATTTGCGCTTGTGAACATGCTATTCAGGTGCGTTTCGATTCACTGGTGTAAGTATGCAAAGAAAGGAGGAAGGAGGTTGAATTTTAGGGTACTTTGGCCCTGATTGGTTGCTTGTAGCCATGCGGTCAATTGGCTCGTTCTTGTCGCTCCATGGTTCCAACAATAGGGGACTCAGCCGTTCAAAGTGCTTTGGACAACTCCACCTCCCAAATGGTGGTTGCTGTTGAAACATTGAAGGCTTGCCTGGCACGTGCTTCACCAATTGCTCGACAACTTCAAATGGACGGTGCGTTGGCGTCACTTTTACGAACAGTTCGTGAGGCTGAGGAATTGGAAGGCCTTGCTAAAGCCGGCACTCTAACCGCTCTTCCTGATGACAAGGTAGATTGACTTTGACAGCTCACTTTATCTTTTACTTACCTGCAACTCTATAAGTGGCCATTTTTAATGCTTCCAGGTGGAAGACCGTTACCGAATACTGAAGGTTAGCATTCGTGATGCTCAGAATGCAACCAATGAGGTTACTTCAGCCGTGGATTCCCTGGAACAAGACTATGCAACTCCACAGAGTCCAAATTGTGATCAAGCTGAGGACTGGTTGGGATCATCATCCAATCGGCTTGCTGGCGCCATGTCCGATCTATTGCGTTCCACTCGTATTTGTTTAGTTACCGAGGCTAGACCAGTTGATAGCGGCGAAGCCTCTGCTGCTCGTTCAGCTGCTCAACTCGCCTATCAGCTCGTGTGTGAGGCGCGAAAGCTTGAGCCTCTTCAACCGACTGTTTCTAGTCCGGATCAACAAGCAGATGTCCTTGAAAGCAACCGAAACGTGGCAGTAAACTGCAAACTCATTGGTGACAACCTCAATCGCGCTCTCTTTGAGTGTTTGTTGAAAGCGTTACCTGGTCAAAAGGAGCTGTCAGAGGCATCAGATTTGGTGAATCGACGTAGAAAAGATCTTGTTCGTTTTGCAGACAATCCAACTGTGTTTGAATATCCGATTGAGGAGACACGGATAGAAAGAACACAGTCGGAATTCACCGGTGCTGCTGTGGAATTTAATCAAGCGACTGCAGATTTGACAAGCTGTTACACTCCGAGCAACTTCCGGCGCTCGTCGGTGCGATTTGCGGATGCTTATGATACTTTGGTGGATAAAGGCTTGCAGTTGTCACGTGCTAAGCCGCCAAAGGATCCTACCGGTCCGCAGTTGATTAATGGACTGGTGGAAGTCTCTGATCGAAGCAGTGAGATGCTGGAGGACGCAAAACAGGTCTGCAGTCAGCCCGAAGCCGATTCACTGAGACAAAAACTCCATCTAGCTGCAAGGTGATTGTTTTATCAGATTTTGGAGGTAATCTTTTCCGTAATAGATCAGTGACGGATAGCATTAGTCACTTGCTGAGTGTTTCCGTGTCGGGGGTGGTTCCGGGCGTAGCTGATTGCGATGCGGAACTCAGAAGACTTGAAGCCATGCGTCCACTTCTTGAGTATCCTGATCGACCTAATAACCAACACACATATCAACAATGTGTTACCTCGTTTGTTCAATCGCTTGCTGTGAGTTAGATTGAAACGTTGTTTACTTTTGAGATGAAAGACTACTAAGGCCGAATGCTTTCGTTTTCAGCCTCTGTCTGATGGAATTCGTGGCACTTTGGATGGCATTAGATCGCATAACACTGATGTCTTTACATCCAACATCAGAAGTGTGACAGACTGTCTTTGTCAAGTGGTAGGAGAAACCTCACAGGTGAGATAGTTTTACGAAATATTACGTTATATTATCATCATAGGCGGCTTATTTAATTGCGGTCGCGCATCCCACATCGGAGCCAGGACGAGGTGGTACTGTTGATATCGCCCTCTTTGAACGGCTTCAACGGGACATTCAAACCATCTGTCGAGCAATGAAGAGCCCCGAGGTTACTGAACGAGAGGTATAAATTGTAAACATTCATTGTTTTGCTGTCCGCTTAGTTGTAGTTGGTAAAAAGTTTATTTAAGCAACTACCGTTTGGCTATTGGCTAAATCTTTTCAATTACTCCTTTCCAGGATCGTGCCCGTGTAAGTGTTGTTGGGTAAAATTTTGTTCTGGTTTCTTTGCTTGCCTTTACTAATGCAATTCTGACCCAAAATTATTTGGCTTTCAAAGGATTCATTTTGCTTCGATCAAATTGCCATTGATTGACCAATCCAACCTCCTCTTGTCTAAATTTAATTTAATCTCTGTGTGTGTGCACTGATAAGACGAGTCAGTTTCACCTTAGCCCCTTCTCTCTTGTCCCTGACCAGGTTGTCAATCTGGCTAATGACATGTCGGCCAATGTGCGTAGCCTGCGAGACGCCTGTAATACCCTCGCAGCTCAAATACCCGATCTGGAAGCGAAACACAAATTGCAGAATCTGGCCGATGACTCAGTGAAGAGTATGAGTGTGCTCATTCAGCGCAGTGCTGATTGGTCGGATGAGGGTCGTCGTACGACTGTGAATAACATCCATGCCGTCAATGGAAATATCGATCGTCTTGTCAGTTTCATCACCTCACTCAGTGGATCTGGCGGAGAGCCTGCAAGAATTAGCAGTGAAGCCCGGAGTGTACGTGTTTATTTTCTTATTTCATTTGCTCAAATTTGAATATCCGACAGCATATCCTCTTCTCTTCAGGCTCAGCAACCTATCTGCTCTGCTGGTCAGGCATGTTTAGAGAGTGGAAAAGGAGTAATTCTAGCCTCAAAGCACATGCTGCAGACGGCTGAAACCAATGTTCAACCATCAGATACCGCATTGAGTGCCTTTACGGCTGCCAGTCGCGATCTAACTGATCACACTAAACGTCTTCTTGCCCTCCTGAGGTTAGTCTTGGGCACAATAACTACCGAATTCAATTTAGTAGCAGTTTCACGCTATGGTTTTGTTTTATTTTTTTCAGTGAACAAGGCCCTGGGCAGGCGGAATGTCAGCGTGCACTGCTGAACATTCGTCGACTGCTGCACGAGTTGGAGCGTGACAAGATGGCCATGATGGACGGTGTTTTCACTCCACGACACGACACCAATGAAGAGGGTTTCTTGAAAGTTAGTTGGCATCAACGACTCTTTCTGAGTTAATTGGTTGTTCCAAATAAAGCTGTGAAGTATTTTTTTTCTGGACAGAGGTCCATTATAAGCGCGCAAGAGAACCGATAAGCGGGTCTTTTCAAATTTTGAAAGGACTTAAGTGTATCTTTTAGACAGCTATCGTGGCGCCCTCCATGTTTACTCCTGTGACCCTCATCACCGTAATTGTTATCATTTATGCAGGATTCATAGATAACTTTATTCCTGAACCTAACTCACTTTAAAGAGCATTCGTACTTTCAAACAGCAACTCACTGTAAGCGCTCGAGCTGTGCGCGACATGGCTACGTCAGTAGGGCGCGGCGCCACTTCAGAAGCCGAACGTTTGGGCCATGCGGTTTGCGAATTGGATCTCCTCCTTCCAGGTCTCGTTTCTAGCGCTCTTGGAGCTGCTTCGCGCGCTTCTAACTCCTCAGCTCAATTGACATACATGGAGCACACTCGAACTGTCCTCGAGTCTGTTGAACAACTCGTCTCTGTTGCTAAGCAGGCCGGTGGGAATCCTCGGGTTTGTATTTTCCAGATTTAAACACGCAGCTTCTAACGCGGATGATAACTTGTTTTTGATTTGTTTCAACAGTCTGGCCCTATTCGAGAAGCAGTAGATGAAAGTGTTAAGGCTCAGATTGACTCCTGCGAAGAACTTCTTTCTGCCATTGAAGGCGTTGCATCTCAGCAGAGCTTCATAGCAAAGCTTATGGCTGTGTTGGAGGAATCACGGGCCCTTGTGCGTTTTATTTTATAAAAGACACTGCTTTTTATCTCGTTTCAACAGCTTAACCTTACATGGGTATAATTTAGGTGGATAAACCCGGTCGCGCACCTTACGATGCTCACTTCACCGATTATCAATCTCGTCTCCTTCGGCTGGCTCGTCACATGGAGCAACAGACTGAAGCGACTGTTAGGGCGGCTCGACGTCCTCAAGAGCCCACCAATCAAGAAATGACAGGGTTAGTGCAAAATTTGGCACAAGATTATGCAGAAATTTGTATGATCTCTCGCGACGCTTGTGGAACGCTTCGTGATCCCCATGAGGCAGAAAAGCTGCGATGGGCGGTGAAAAATCTCGGTCAAACCACACGTGGACTCATTCTGGCCACTGTCAATGTGGCCGCGTCAAGACCTGATACGTCTTTGAGTCGAGGGGGTGTTGGCGCCAAGCCACCTGCTTGTTTGCGCAGTTTGGATTTCTCTGCAGGTGCTATGAATGATAGGGTAAACGCAAAGAAATTTCTCCATCATGGATAGTATTTTTACTTATATTAACCAAGTAGTGTGTTTTTTGCAGCTCCGAGAACTGATTGCCCTATTGGAGGTGCAAGGTCCCGGGACCCAGGCTTGCTTGCAGGGCGCAAGTACAGTGAGCGGAATAATTGCGGATTTGGACACGACCATTCTCTTTGCCAGCTCTGGAACCCTCCACCCACCCATCCGTGATGATGCTGATGTTCATCAGCTGGAGACTCAGCAGAGATACTCTGCCATCTCTTCAGGTTACGATGACTTTGGACAAGAGGCCCAAAGCAACTTTATCAGCATTCGGTAAGTGAAATCTCGTGAGTAAAGTGCTTTTGGTTGAAATTATCGCTGTCAAGTTGCCGTTGAGAAGCTAACAACTTAAATAAAATTTGCTTGAGATATCGTTTTAGACTGGATGTGTATCTCGCTGTATTCTTTTAAACCCTATTTGTCGGCGTCTCCTTAATCGGTTTTATTTTCATCATCTGTTATTTCTATTTTTTTTATCGCTAATAACCCTGCTTGTTATTTTGCCTTTTAGTGAGAGCATTCATCGTACTGCTGATGCTTTGGTTCAAGACACCCGATCTCTCGTAATGGGCGCTGGTGAGGATCAAGCTCGATTGGCTGGCTCGACTCAAATGGCCGTTCGTAACATCTCTCAGTTGGCTGATGTGGTTAAGCAAGGTGCTGCACTTATTGGCCCTGGTCAATCCGATAGCCAGGTAAGAATTGTCTTGTACTGGTCTGTCTCTTTCTTTCTCTCAAACCTTTTTTTCCTCTTTTTGGTGCTATAATCGTAGACTCGTAAAATCAAAATGAGGATTTTTATGGGGAAGCTCTAACGGCACCACTACATGTAAACACTGTGGCTGTTTAAGCTTTTCTTCTCCTCCTTTATTGGCTTTCTTTCTCTGTCTCTGGTGCCAACCCTAGTATCTCCTCTTCTATGAAAGAAAATTAGCTTTCGTCTGACCGTTGTCCCTGTATTTTGTCTCCTCATATCTGAATCGCCTTCTCATCGTTGTGAAATGGGCCAATCTTGCGGTTCGTCCTTGTAACCACATACTTATTTCGTGTTTGCGCATCTGTCTTCTACCTACATTACATTCCGTATAACCACGCATGCTACTGTTGGGCGATGTTTAAATGAAATGCCGCATGAGTGGTGTAGCGGTGCCGTAGCTTTGCCCATCACGTTTTCGCTCGGCCGAGAATTCGCTAGCTACACCCCCTCTTCCCTCTCCCCATTTTTTCCCCCCTTCCTTATTACCTACTCCCTCATCCTTTCTTTGCTCCCCTTTCCCCACACTCCCACTTTCTTTTTCTTCCGGTGGCCTCTCGTGCATCTAATTAGCAAGGCTTTATTCACTCTAGGCATGCCATTTCTTTGTTTTACTTCTGCCTCTTTGAATCCCCGATTGGGCTAGTAAACTGAAGCACGTGGAGGTTCGTGTTTAACGCTTGTGTTTTGTGTTTCTCCTCATCGCTCCCTTCCTCGGTTATGATCAAAACTCAGGTCCTCATTCTTGGAGCTGCCAAAGATACAGCTGTTGCTCTCCGAAGCACCCTATTGGCTGCTTCTCAAGTTCAAGGACGACCCAAAACCGATCCGACATTTAAGGAGATGCAGACATATGAAAGTGTAAGCTTTGTGGAAGGATGTTTTTTTTCTTTTCGAGAGGAAACAAATGAAGCCCTTTTCACAATTGGCTCATTCACTGCCTTGTAGAATGTGGGATCGGGTGTAGGTTTCCTCCTAAAATCTGTGGATTCCATCGACATGGAGTCAACACGAGGTACCAAGGCTCTAGCAGCAACTGTTCACTTCTGTCGTCAATTGGCCAATCGTATTCCCTCCTCCATGCCAACAACAGGACATACAGTTAGTTTAAACGACTTGGGGAGCGCAACCACTCTACTTTCCACTACGTCCAGCCTCGTCTCACGCTATCTGGCACCGGATGAATTGTCGCGCACTACAGAGGGTCCTCTCCGGATGACTGTGGACAAGGCAATGACAGCGGTTTCAACACGGCGACAAGATGACGCTCTCGTCTCTGCTAACACTGCTAAACATGCTGTTGTTGACTTGGTCAATGCTTGCAAGGTACATCTTGACCTGATTCCTCGAAAATCTCCACATCTTATTCCATCGAGAGTTTTGATTATCAACAGGAAATCTGTTTGGAGGTGTAGGGCTCAAGGCTTGATAATTATCCAGTCATCAGGATTATTCGGGTGTAGGTTTTTTTGGATTTATTCCTCCACTCCACCTCACAAAGTGAAGATCGTTGAGACTTTCAAGTGTGGGTCGAAGCACAAATCCAATGTGGTTGGGAGACTTTCCTTCTCCGACTGTTCGTGTCAAGAATAATGCTCACATCAGACTGGTTTAGTGATATTTATAATTATTTACATCTCAAAAGGTGCAATCTGACAAGTTGATCGATTTTCTGGTGTTTACCTCCCCTGTCATTTGACAACTTTTAAGGTGATGCTGTCCCCTGCCACCTCTCTCTCTCTCTCTTTTTTGTGATCGCGAATCCAGCACGAGATTAACCATTGTTTAGTAAACAGATATGTTAAATTAATTCTGGTGATTTTTTTGTTAAAATCTGTCCTACCCTAGTTACCACATCACACAAGTCGGATATTACACGTGTGACGCCTGAGAGAGGCAACTCTACAGTCCTTTTGTGTTATAGCACTTTTTTGTGATGTAAAAATAGTTTTGTTTGTCACTGATTTTCTCCCTCAGAAGGCAAAAAAGCAGCTTTTCTGTCCACTTTACTTGCCCCCTTGCTGAATGGTGAATTTCACTTCTTTCTTCCTTGGTAAACAATATTGTGTTGGTAACAAGGAATTTCGACTCAGCACTGAAAGTCCAAAGCAATGTTGTTGTTATTTTGTTAAAGAAAAGTCGAACTTTCGCTGTTTAATTCATAGGAATGCAGCATCGACTCGTCACCTCGAGAGGCAGTTGATTTATTGAAGCTGACTAGGCTCCAATCATGTGAATGTACTGGGTTGATGCCTTCATTCCACTAAGGCGGTTGTTTATCACAGTGGGTTGCTCTCCTTCACAAATTCATTCCACACTTGAAAGTGAATTCGGCCAATCTCTTGGTCAACCAGTCCATTTGTTTGTCTCTACTACCGTGTGTTTATGCAAAATGATCTGCATCAACCTCCATTCGGTTGTGTGCATATGTCCGACGTCGGTCCATTTCAATTGGTTCTCTCTCGTCGCAGAAAGACACTTATTGGTCCACTTGAGGCGATTAATCTGCTGATTTTCGTTTCTGGGTGGAATAAATACTCATTGCGGTGGTGAACCGTCGCCATTGTCGTTATACTGAAGCTGTGGTGGTGTTGGTGCCTTTTAGAATCTCCAACGCCAACCAGAGATAAAGGAGGAATTTCGAAAGGGTAGTGCTGACACCGTTAGGAAGGTTGTCTTGGAGACTGCTGAACTTCTGGACGCTGTTAAGTGTGTAAGTTATTTGAATCATGAAATGTGAAAACGCCAGGTTACCATCCGATCATGGTATATCTACCGGTCTGTTGTTCTTAAGGTGGTTGCTGAGGCCAATTCCAATGACCTTAACCGGGCATCGACATCAGCGGGCAAAATCACCGCTCTGGCCAATCAACTTATGCGGTTTATTGACAGAATGCGAGGTTAGTTGGCTTGTCCCAAGTCACTGACTAGTTTGTTATTATCAGCATTTAATTCATTTCTTTTACTATTCTTTATTTTGTAGATAATCCACGCCTTGTCATGTACTTCCGCGTTAGCAGTCCCGAATGTAAGTATGCCTTCAGACATACTACTTGTATCCTTATCAGCGACTCACTAGTACATATTTTTGTTGGCAATTTTCAGGGCGAGATGTGGCAGAGAAGTATCTGGGTCGTCATATTGCGTTCCACCATCAATACGAATCCTGCGATGATCGGGGTATGCCAACATCTAGTTGATTATATCGGCCAATCTACTGATTGCTAGTAAACATACGCATCGATGGTATTTAGATGGTTCCTACCGCGCTAAAAATAGTCAAATCAGTTGCCTGCAATCTCAACTCGATTCAACAGGTCGTCTGTTGACTGGAAGTGAGGCTGCGCTGGAGGCCACTAGACGAATTGATGCTGCCCTTTGCCTACTGGAAGGCGACCTCTACCAGGTATGTTAAGGGAAACAAAAGAATCGCATACTCTCTCATTGAACGATGGAGGCCTTCGACAATGAGATATGTTTGGGTTACTTGGTGCTGTACTCTCTTCTCTTACACCAGTGACCAAACATATTCACATTGTTTGGCCTAGAACGTCATTTTCCAGCCCTTTTATTAATACTGCTTCCATCTATTGTTTCTGGCTATCAAAAGATGTATTCCACATTTTTGCCTTTAGAGCATGCAGAAATCGAACAGTCAGGATGTTGAACATCACACTCAACCAATCCTAAGTATGGCCCGTGCGGTTGCGCTAACGACACGGGAATTCGTTCAGACTGTCCAATTGGCTTTCAGTCCCAAGGTCACTGTTAATTTGGGTCGTTTGGTGAGTTGCGATGCCCTGAAATTGCCCCTCCTTTCTTACTTGTAAATAACGTAATTACTCATTGATTGGAAAGGATTTATCAGTTGCATTAGCAACAGAACAATTGTGCGAATTGACACGTCTCTGTTCGGAGACACGATCCGAGGGGCCCTACACAGCTCCGGTGGATGATCCAATTCGAGTGATGCCTTCCAGAGAGCGTCTACTGAATGCTGTTCGTCAGGTGGCCACCGCGAGTGGAGAATTGCTCTATGCTGTACAGTCTAACGTTCACATCACCCCTGCCAACATGATTGCTATCCAGGTAATATCTAGTATTTCAAGTCATTCATTTCTGAAGGCATTGTTGTTGTTACTGGAAAAGTGTAACTGCTCACTATTATCTGTAACTTCTAGGCTCGTTTTTTCATGTGAATCGGCAGTGTCTTGAGGGGTGAGGTATGTTTTGCCACTGTGAGGGAGAGCTGACATTAGTGGGTTAGAAATCTATGGCTACTGACGCCAGGATGTGGACAGGCGCACAACGTGTACGAGGGGGAGGAAGCAACGCATTTATAAACAAAAGGAGACACATGTATCTTTCACCTCTCAACGCTCGAAACAGGATGTGAAATTTGGTTACTCTCGCTCTAAGTCGGTCGGTTGGTTGGTTGGTCGCGGCTATAAACTAAACGGGTGCTGTCTGTTTACGTCCAAAGTTCGCGTGTATGTGTGTGTGGGCTCGCTGTGTGTGCCAAATTCAATCGATAGACTCTCTGATTGATGACAATAAGTTGTCAAGATTTATCAAAAAATAGGGGCAGAAAGGGTGACTTTTCACTCGTTAGTTGATTTTACTGGCTTTATAGAACAGTCTGGTTCACATTTTCACTTCTGTCGGACAACTTGTCTGTCGTGCTGGTGGTAGTTGTAGCGTAGGTCGAAAGTGCTACTTACAGCTTTCAGTCAAGTGTCTTACCACCATTGTCTTTACGATACACCACGCCGTGTTGTCTGCCGTCTGGAGTGTGTGATCTTCGGGCGGCACGTCAAGGGTAAGATCTCGTCGACAGGCCCTATTTTTATTCAACTCCCTTGCAAGGTGATGTAAGGTGGTTTCACCCCTTCAATTGCTTCCCCATTTTAGCGGTCAAGAACGGTAAAGTATTCCTCTTTTCTCCCACTCCTCTGATTCTCTCTGGTTTCGATAATCCTAATTTCGCCTTTTGTGCCTCATTGGTAATGGAGAGATGAGCGCTTGATTATTTGAGTCAAAATTTCCGTCCTACTCACTAACTATCACTTCTTTTCCTTTTTTGTGCTCCATAGACTGCAGCGAGATCTGTAAAAGAGCAGACAGACAAAATGTCCGCGACGGTACGTAACAAAGACCCAATTTTCAGTCACCTTCCGTCTCAAGGCGGTTTGGAGGCTAGCCTCCTGACTTCGATTCCGATCGTCCCACCCCAACAGGAGGTACGATGAGGCGTGACATTAATAGTCACTTTAAAGCTGCCCAATTTACTGCATCTCTCTCCCTCTCTCTCAGAATGCCAACTCGAGTGCTCAAATCCACGCTGAACAGGTGGTCTTGGATGATCTTCAAAATGAAGTTGACCGGCTCAATCAAACCCTGAACGAGGAGAGGGGCATGAGTTGAGGAGTCCTTTGCTGTTTGCTTTTCTAATCGACGCACACAATCAAGCCAAATGGAAATACATGATTGACACAAAGACGGCGTTTTGGGTTTCGGTTTTTCTTTTTTCGCATTGTTTCTCCCATCCTTGCCTAACTTTTTTTGCCCTTTCGCTCCATAGATCGTGCGTACATTGAGCCCTCCCCTTCCCTACTGCTTGAAATTGCGTTCGCATGTACCTCTTTCTGTGCTACTTAAAACCGGTTTTCAATCCTTCTATCTTTTGTAAGTTAGCCTGGTCTCCTACCCACCTCCTTTCTCTCCCCCCTCCCCCTTTACAAAAATGTTCACATCTATCATCTCCTATCCTCCTTGACCCCTTTACTTACTCATATTTCCGACACCAGACATTCGTGATAGAAAAAAAACACACAAGCACGCAGACACATACCGACGACGAGCTTCTATGCTCGCGTTTAGGCTCTTCTCTATCTTTTGTTGACAATAAATACGTCTGTTTCTTATCAAACGACTCCTACTTAAATAGTATTTCAGTAGCACTCGTCACCTTAAACCGAACTTGCCTCGTTTCGGAATCTGACGCAGTATGTGAGTTGACATACCAAAAATTTATGAACTTAAACCGAATCAAGTTAGCGCGGGGTCATTTATGCCGTAAATTGACTTCTAAAAGGGCTGGCGATGTCCAGGATTTCCTTGTTCTTCCAGATGAACGTCTGTTTTTGTCCAAAGGGTAAGATTGAGCCTAGCGAATGATGCTTGGCATACTGTAGCTACACGGAGGTTCTAAGTAGCTCTTAACCAACGTCAACGAGGGGGCAATTTTCTGAGGTACGAAAAAGACCTCATGCAGGTAACTCCAAGACGATGATGCACAGCCATACAGACTACTTTAGAAGTTAAAGAGTCCCCATTAAATATGTGAATTCATCTTTATAACTATGGACACGAAATGTAACCCAAAATGACTTTATTAGAGTTCAGTAAATTCGATCGACAATGACGAAGGTGAGTGCGGATTGAAACAGTGCGCAACAATGACTGGATAGGCGAGAAAAACGAGAGCAAAGGAGACAAAAGATGTCTACTTATTGGACGTTTGGGGGTCACATACTTGGGGTCCTTTCAGAAGCACCACTGGAGAGGCACCTGGATATGGTGGTAGACGGAGATTGTACTTATCAGCCAGAAGCGGAGGAACAAATCGACCACCTGAAGTAGTAGACAAGTTGCTTCGGCCTACAGATGCTCAATGCGATCATTTTTAAGAACGTGAAAGCTGTAATCAAAGCAAAATACGTCTTGATAAGCAAAACAGTCTACCAAGAAAGTGGAATCGGCCGTTGAACCGGTGAGCACAAAGTTTTGGTGCCGTAAGTGAGATTAAGCAGTCCGGTTGTAGAAGGTCCGTCGTCTCCGTCTTCTCACTGACTTCCCAACCTATAGTCAAAGGAAAGGCACTGAATCAGTGACTGTACTTAAATATGCATTGTTATTAAGGATGTTGAGCCTCCACAAAATCTACACTACTATAGGCTCCTCCGTGCCAACTGTAGCCTACATCCCCTGAGCTGATACTGAAACTTGGCGTAGTCTTAAAGCCCTTACAGAAGAGCAACCGCGCCCTTCACTATTGGAATTCTGGCAAACGGTCTCGAATGAAAGAGAAAACCCAAATGTATTTTTGCAGCAACACTACATTTTGCCTAATCTTCCAAACAAACTCCTCCCTTAATCCACCTTGAAATATGCAGAACAGGGCAATCGGAGTTCTTAACACGTCTGAGAAGCATACTACTTAAATGACTAGTATGAGTAGTATTCATAGCAGCGAAGAGGGTCTAGCTTGCCATGCATCATCTGTTTCACGTGGATCTACGTATCCTGTATCTTCCACAACGCATTTTAGATGCTACTAAAGGGAACGATCGGACAGAAATTTCATAAAATATACCATTTCTAAGGCAAGAAGATCTTCATCATCTGCCTGATTTCAAGTCGCCATCACCTGCGTTAAAAAGTAATCACACTGGCACTCCGTTCAGACCTACCATTCAAAGAGTGCTAACGTCTTTATTTTGGAAGAAAAAGAAGATGAAAAAAAAGTAAACTAACCAGAAGGCACGTCGATGGAAACAAGCGGCACATTCAAAGCAGCAATTCTTTGAACAGTTTCAGCAAAATCTGGTTTCAGGGGCGGACGGAAGCCAAAACCAAAAAGCGCATCCACTATGAGATCATAAGCCGACTCAAGAATTTTCACCTGAGAAGGGGAAGAAAGGAGAGGACAAATAGGATCGGCCAATCAGAACAGCGAACCTGCTCATGTCATCAATAACTCACTACAGATTACTTCGCTTCCTTAAAAGTCATAAATTGGGTGAGTTTTTTTAACCCAATTTTTTAAAGGCAGCCCATTACTTTTAGGTTGGAGAGAGACGATGTCGACTCTAATTAGTCATGAAATGCATTTTAATTTGTGCCGACAAAATGCTTGCCTCCAAAGTTGCCTCGACCATTCTCCCATGCACTTAAACACTGTTGCAGGACTGAAAAGTTGACACGAATCGGTAAACATGCTTTTAGCAAAAAAAAAAAGAGACAGATCAAGACATTGATTTGAGGGTATAGGTATAGGAGAAACCTGCGAGAATTTTAGTTAGTTAGCTAATTGACCATTCAAGTATGAAAGCTCGAGGTGGAAGGGTAGATGTGCAACTCCTCCTCTACCTCATTTCCGCCATTCAAATGAGAAGCAAGAGCTACCCTTCACACTCATTCCCCATGCTTTTACTCATTGAGTAGGATTAAATGTCAAAAAAAGCTGGCAAGTTAGAACAAATGACGAATTAACTAGATTGTTTTATTCACTTCAGCTGCTGTCTCCGTCCTAGGAGAGGTAGTAACTAATCGACAGTGCTCCAGAGGATTAAGAATGAATTAATTTTACTGCTTTCAAGCTTATTGGAGATCATTTAAAACACATTTCAATGCTTTAAGTCAGTAAAAGTGGGGAAATGATGTCTCCAACTGTTTCCTCCGCTCCGCCCCGGAAATTGCAAACATTTCAGGTGTGGAAATAGTCAATAACGTGACAATCAAAACTGAGTCATGAGAGGACCTCGCAACTCTCGTCTCCTCCTCCAAGGTGGAAAAATAGCAGTTCTCTCAGACAGTCTTAGAGCGCCCGTATTGAAATGTCTCATTCCATGACCATATCAAGTTTACCTTACCATTGCGATTAAAGTACACTACTAAAGGACATGAAAATAATGTGAGAAATTGAGAATTACATCAGACGGAATGTAGGAGAGGAAAGCGATCCCCATTTTTTCACACTGCGTGACCAAATTCTTGTAGAGTTGTTTTGACGGTGAACGCGGATAGTAGACGGTTGGTTTGTAGCCCTGAGGAGGAGAGGGAGACAGGCAATAATGGAGGGATGTAATACAAGTAAGACCATCTAAAGTACATAAAAATGTGATTTATTGCTGTCTAACGATGGAGGAGGAGAGAGGGGAATACATGCAAAGAAAAGGAGCTTAATTTAACTAACTCAAACAAATTTGCCTACAAAAAAGGTGTTTTCATTTCTGCCTTTCCATTTTTTTGCGGCAAAGAAAAAGATGACTTTAAATGCAATCATAGGAGTTGATTTAACGGAGCTTTTCAAACTGTCACGCATTGATGGAAGTGATGGTGAAAGAGATGATGTCTCATCTCTCGTTTCTACCAGTTGCATTTCCTCTTGCATAATAGCCCCTTGTTTGCTGTAAAAAGGCTACGACAGAAGAAAAGTTATACAATTGTGTGCTCCAATGGACCTTTGCAACGTATTCGTCCGTCCATGCCTTCTAACTTGTCAAAGTAGGTGAGAAAAATCTTCAATTTCAGCCTGGAGAGAGTGGGGGAGGAGGGGGAGGGGAGAGAAAGAGAATGTGTGGAAGGCTATTTTGGGGTAGGGAGGGCAAAGCAATGGCTACAATAGTGAAAAAGGCAACTAAAGACATCACTCAACAGTGGTTAAAGGTGAAAGGAAGACGACCAAATTTTCCAACTTGGCTAAAGTTAATCAAGAATACACAGTTCAAAGGGAACGCGGGTGGTCACAGATTAGGAAAAGGGAAACTACTTTAAGCAGAGAGAGAAGGTTATAACTTCCCCCGCCTCCCCCATCCCACATCCAAGAATTAACAAATCACATTGAAGAAAGGCCGTTAAGACCCCTCCAATGCAGATTCTTCTTTTTTGGCTTAGAAATGCGACATGTACGATAGTAGTAGGCCGATGGTTTTGGCGCAATGAGACGTGTCCAAACAGAATAAATACTTCAGGGGGGGGAGGAATAAAGATTATCATCATTTGCCAATGCGTATCAGTTCACCAAGGAAATCAAACCATATGCTATTGTCAAGAATTCGAGTTTTTATGGTCTCCCACCCATCCATACACACAAAGACTCGCATCGCAGACACATTTGCCATGTGATAAAATGACAAGAAATAATGTGGGACGAAAAAAGAAGAAGAGGAAAGAGGAAAAGAGGGTACAAATCAAACAAATTGCATGTCAGTTTTTCAACCATCTTATTCCCATGTCACGCTGCAGTACTCTTACTTCTTAGTGAAAACTACAAGATGTTAGATTGGAGATATCTTAATTGGAGCGGACACAGTGGACACACCAGAAAAGTAGGTCATACTTGCCATGAACTACGACCTACCATGTTATCGCGATGGCATCAACCTGAACCACACTGCCTTACCAGCCTCATGATCACCATTGGGATGGGCAAAGTAGAGAAAACATGGAGGAGAGGAGTAAAAAGAAATCCCCAAACACCTTCCACACTTGTGGTATAACAGAGTGAGACAATACGAGAATAAACGGCAAATCATTGTGTCTTCCACACACACACACAGACAATGCGTTTGTTTTGTGCTCCGTCGCCTCAGTGGCAATGGAAACAACAACATCAACAGGATGTCACAGTTATTTGACCTCAACGTCGGTCATGACAAGCCCTAACTCGTTGATGTTTAAGCCCAGCTGGGTGCTTAAACAAGAAAAAAAGGCGATTGTAGACACATTTTGGGTCTTTTTTAAATATTACATTCTCTCTCAGTATTACACATTTCCGTCATGTGGGTGTGTACCTCTTTAGGTCGATTATTTTCCTTTTCCCACACCCAGCGTCTTGCAACAAATCATACATAGCTATTGCATCGTCACACGCTTACATCATGACAACGCTACTTGGCATTGATTAACACCTTTTCCTCACCAGACACTTAAAGGTTTTAATACAGGCCTCGTTCTTCGACAACAACCCTCGTAACTTCTGCCAGTGTAGTATTTCGCCTCCTAAGACGCAAAAAAACATGCCCCGCCTACCCTCATTTGTACCGGCCTCCCTATTGGACGATTGTCGACGATCCGACTGATTGACTAGACGTGACTATTTCTGAAGGTGAGTCTCAGCAAATGTTGAGACCTTAGTTGCAGGAAATGGGCGCATAGAGACTGAATTTAGAGTCCCAGACGATCACTGCAAACAATGAGCAGATTGGTTAAACGTCATCCTTTTACGGTGATAGAGTACATAATCTTATCTGTCACCCCTTACCCGGTGGGATGTAACATTCACCTGCCTCCTCAACTCTGTTACTCTGGTTTTCGTCTCTGGTAAGTGAGTGGTTCATTATTGGCGGCTGTTCTTCACATGTTAATTTTTATTTCGCCCATTTCTAGCAGGAAACAGCAATGTGATGCACACATTCCTTCCTCCAAAATGCCTCTGCAGCCTTGGCATCAAAATGAACTCTGTAATGCCTTCTCACTGCTTCGTACACACCAATAACCAACTAGTTGACAATATGGTATACTGGAGGCCACAGAAATCGACTAGCTAAATGAGTGAGTGATTTCAAATGTCCTACGCGTTTCAACTCACAGCACTTGACAGCAAGGGATTGTGGTGACTTTTCTTTACTGGACCTCCGATTTCCCCTTGCATTATGAAGGCAAAGATAAGGGGTGAAGGCAACTTAAAGTGATACGGACACTTTTGTGTCTCCACTCCACATCTCCTGGCGGTCTGATTGAAGCATTGATTGTTCAAACTGGAAGCGCAAGAGGCCAAGATTTTAGATGATAGGTTTCGAAATTCACTACCCACCAGTGTGATTTGATGAGTAATCTTCAGGGGGTACCAAAAAGCTATTAAAAGATTTCTTCTCACACTTTTCAAGGAAAAATGAAGAGAGGGTAATACCACCTCACAAGAGAACTTACAAAGAGTTTGAGATGACGAGCGCATACCAATCCATCACCACCGTTGTTTCCAGGACCACAACATATCAAAACTCCACCATCTGAGGTCTTCATTGAAGAGCGAGGATAGGCCTAATAGAATAAAGTGTACATCCAAGGATATTAAAAACATTAATTCAAGCTACGAAGAGATGATAAAACAAAATTAAGACTTTGGGAATGGATGTTGCCGTAGGAACACGACACGTAAAGGAAGTGACAAAGAGGCCCAGTTTCAGTGCTGATAGCTGACCCGCACACCACAGGTCGAGCCCACGCATCGACAAGCGCCTCCACAACACCGTGAGCTGATGACGTAAGCTTCCTGCTCTCGAAGTCATGCTTCGAGTATGGTCATGGATCTGGTAGAGTACTTTCAGGGAACAAACTATTCATTGGTACTTTCCATGCCATTGAGAGAACAATGCTGGAAAAGCAAGTTTCAACAGGAGTCTTGTGGGTGCCTCTACCTCTCTTTGACAGATCTGTTGTGCTATTAGTATCGATGGTAGTGGAAAGAGAGGGTGATGGGACTCACGCTATGAATAGCGACAGCGCAACTGTAACCCGCAAGCTCCATAAGCTGGTCAACCGAAAAGGCATACTCGCTGAAGAGCTCTTCATCTATCTTCTGTGCCTCCTCCTGACTAGAAAAGGAAAAAGGTCACAAATTACGCCCTTCAACCACAACTCTATTTTCTCTCCAAAAAAATATCGGAGATAATGATGAAGTGAAAATAGCAAAGACGTTAACGAAGAGACTGCACGCCTGTTTCGGCAGGAGGACCACAGGCCAATAACGCGACTGATTTCTCCCAAAACGTTCACACAACTGAGTGACTTTTAGGTTTTGATACTTAATAGTAGACGGTAGTTTGCCCTGTCGCCAATGCAGATTACGTGAGTCACACCTAGTCATTCCTGATCGCTCAAATTTCCAAACATCAACCCTTACAGGAAGGAGACTTTAAAGCCAAGTAAGGCACACTGGGCCTGGCATTTCCCAGTTTCCACTCTTAAAGGCCAAATCTCATGAACATTCAGCCAATGGATGCGAAGTCCAGCTCATTTGGCTAGCACAAAGGGAGGATAACAGTTGCAGTGAGAGGAATGATAAATGTACCATCACAATCATCCATGAATGCCTTCCCTTTGAAAAAATTAGACCGCATGTTTTGAGAAAACTTTCAACTGACCAAAGATGGGTTTGAGTTTGCAAACAAATTCTCCAGACATGCGAAATCCTGGAATAAGAGCTCAAGGCCACGGAATTACATTCAGTTTGACGAATAAGCTCGTAAAAAGGCAATCAGGTGGAGAGAGAGTTTATGACTGTGGGAAAGGGAGACTTTCGCCCCCCGAGAAAGGTTGAGTTTCGTTCTCTTTCTTTTCATTCAACATAAATACAGTCTCAACTGAGCTTTAGCTAGCCCAGCATATGCACTGCAGACTTTGAACCCACCAGAAGGAGGAACAGTAGTTTATGTTAGCTACCAAGTCAATTCAAAGAAAAATCCATGAACCACGATGTAAAGATGAAAGGAAGAAGCAAAAAAAAAGGGAATTCGCCACAGTTGAAACAGGTGGATACAAAATAATTCAATCCCAGCGGATCCTTATTCCAAACTGCATCTGGAATGACAGGAGGAGTGCAGGATGCGAAAACGATGGAAGCAATAAATCCAAGAGTTTGAGGCAAAATCAAATAAACACTTCAAAGGAAGCACACCTACCCGGCAATAAAGAGTTAAGATGTGAGGCCAACTTTTATGCTGGATCTATAAAACCGCGGTGAATGAAATGAGATCAGACGTTTCCTGCACTCTGATGTGGGGATGAGGGAAGAAAATGATAAGATGAATGTCGTAAGTGCAACCAAACATAAAAAAAATTGCGATAGCTGCCATCCCAACGACACTACCTATCAAATTCGAAAGCTAATTAATCACCGCAACTACTAGGCAGACTGATAAATATCACTTATTTATGAATCAAGAACAAAAAGCATTTGCTTTTGACAGACAGCATAAAATAATGAGAAATACGTGTGGTGAAGGAAAAAAAACGATTGTTTCCTCAACTAAACACTCAGGTAGGCACAGACATCGACGTGAAGGTTTTCCCGCGTGAATCACCATCGGATTGGTTGGAATAAAGGGAAGGAAAGCCAAATTGATGTTGAATCCGAATGTCTAAAGACAGGTGCTCCATAGATGAAGCATTCCATGAGGCAATGCAAGTAGTTTGCTGGTCACAATGTTGGCGTTGACATATTGGAACAAGAGAACACGTGGTAGATGGGTGGGTGCGTGGGTATAAAGTATCACCAGGATGGAGTCGTCTCTGACGCCCTTGTACCACTGGTGTAGAGAAGAGGTGAAAATAGTTCCAATGTTAGGTAACTCAGGAGGAAGGAGACCTCTCATCTGCTTCCCGGGCAATTATTCAACTGAAATTACCTAAAAAGCGATGAAATGCTTGAAGAGCAGGATGGAGTAATGCCACAAATACAATCCACCCATTGAGAGCAATTTACGGAGACCAGAAGTTGAGCCTCATTAAAGCATGCATTGAGGCAACCAACCAAGACCGAAGTGAAGTGAACTGAAGCAATCGAAGCAAAACGACTTAAAGTGCAGTAAACACCCAGAAGACACAAAAATGGTACATTTTAGAAGCAACACCACTTTAACGAAAGTTCCAGCACGCAAACAAGCGGAACCGCCAAGTGTACGGAGTCTTGTAAGTTACTTTTAATTGAATACTGGCTAGTTGGATGGGTGGCTGAGTAGACGATGATCTAAAAGCCCTTGTTTTTCTTCAAAAAAACAAACAAAGTGATTTTGATGTCAATTGATCACCACTAAACTAAACGGTGCCACTGACTACGTTACTATTTTCATTGACGCTGCCGCCCCCTCTCTCTCTTTACCCTTTTGCCGATTGGCAAAATGTGGAAAGTTATGTGGAACTATGTCGTCGAGGTGGCGCGGAGCGTTGTAGTGAATGCCGGATGTGACCTACTTTCCCAGTTTCCTGAGGATTTAGTTCAGTTCAATCGGTCCAATTAATTCCAATGGTAATGGAGGTAGCTCAAATTTAGATGAAAGTCCACCCTAGTAGCTCGTACGCGCATATAACATTGCGTACTAGGGTGAGTAATTAATTTGTACGGATATCAGCTAGTAACCATCAAGACCCAGACGCACTGCAAGTCAACGTAGCGACGCGACGCCTAGTACCTGCACATTTGCGATGCATTAATGATGTTAAATTTTGTCACGATAATCACACACCCATTAGTGGAAGTGGCTTCTCTTCACCAGTGGCAAAGAATTCCTAATTATCCTCATTGCTCAGCCATCGAAACTAGAGCTTCCACCGACCTTTCACATCCATGTGCCGCACTTTCACATTCATGACGGACTGATTCACAAAAATTGGTATAATCTACTAGACTGGAACACCAAAACATGAAACGTGTGAGGTTTAACTACGAAAGGTTTGAGCCGCTGTTATCCTCTCCCAAACGAAAAATGGCCGAAAAGGGCGAGTTGAGGGGACCTATACCTCACGCTGGCCTCCCCGAGCACATCACTTCAATATCTACCTATTGACAGTAAAATAAAACCTAAAGGAAAGAGGATGGAGAGGGAAGAAGAGAAGGAAAGCGAAAAGTGGCAAAGTGATGACTTAATTGGCCCTTTAACCACCTAATCAACCCACTGCTCTGAGTAAAAGGGGCGGAGAAAAAAATAACCATCCCCGAGAGGATGTCGAAAGTGGGAGTGTAAAATGCACACCACCTTAATATTCCACTGGGGGTGAGGAAAAAAATTGAGCCAAAGACACACGCTAGTATCATGTAGAAAAATAAAAACGCTCAATTGTTAAAGCACCAAGCTCATTTCCAGAGAGAGTTCTTTTTATTCTGTCCAAAGAGGGAAAATGCTCTCACCAACCCCTTTTCCTATCATTTTAACAACGGGAAGAGGCGTGTTCAAGAGAACATCTTGAGAATTAAATGAAGCGGAACAAAGAGAAACGTCAACACATTGCAGAAAATACGGAGGAGGAGGAAGGGAAACGGAAAGCGAACATCCTTTTAGCACCCCCAAAGATGAAAAGATGTGCTTCCGTGAGCAGTAAAGAAAGTAGGACATGTTAGCAATAAAAAAGGACTTAACGAATGCCACCGCATGACCTCTGTCTAAAATTACTTCTTTTAAGTGCACGTTTGTCTACGGAAAGTTCAGAGGTTTGCAGTCATCGTCACAGATGAGTAAAGTGAATGGTAAGTAAAGAAAAGCTCCCAGCGATTACATGGAGAAGGAGGAAAATAGCATCAATTTGCAGAAAGGTGAAAATGAAACCGTTGCTTGTCCATCCCGGATTTGCTAGATCCGATAGACATGGATTTGTGCATCAATATTATTTATTTCCGTCAGCGAATATGTTAGCTAATGAATCTTGCCGTAATGTGAAAAGTTTTACACGGATCTGGGACACAGAAGCCTCCTGTCACCTTCTCCTCTGCGAGAAACTTCAGCTCATTTGGTCGCTACTATGTTCATCTAACCTTCATTAACGCGTTAGGCCAAGAGCAAGGTCAGGGGTAAAGATGAGGGCAACAGAAAAGGCGAAACAGTCCCTAATTGAAAGGGCCTGCAACGTCGGGGACGGTACCTACTTTAACTTATAAGATTCCTCATTTCTTAGAGGCTCTAGACAGTTTTTAAACCTGTGATCCTATTTTAATTTGTCCACTTAACCACCCCCATCCCTCCAGTGATAAAAAACCACTTAAACATCCACAGTCGTGTTAATAGATGAAACGTTATTAGCAAGGCCTTCATTGCATTAACTATTCAAGTCGGAAAATTCGCAAAATTTCAGCTCAACTAGCCGGACCACTAATCGCTTTGGGCATTGCTGACCAGAATGGAGGATCGCGATGGTGGTGCTCGTTTACGACAAAGAGCACTCATGGGCAGCAGAAGTTTGAATTGTGTCAAAACCACTTCACCACCACCAGTGGTCACTTGGACCCGTGAAATACCCCCAAGTAGAGGCCTGATACAGCAAAAAAAAACAAAGCTTTCAAATGAAAGCTTTTAGCAGCTAACACGGAAGTCATTCTGTGTATCCACAACGCCTGGGTGCTGAGGCAGCTAAAATTAGCAAGCTAATGTAGCAGAGGAGTTCATAAAAAGAATAACTACACTGTCAACATTGAAATGTATCCTTCTCTTGCATAAATTTCTGAAGTATCATTTCAATTTGCGCTCCACCGGCACAGAGCAGAGCACAGAAGAGGACAAAAGTGACGGGTTATAACACCTAAAGGAATACTTTTTTAGCAAGGGAAGAGCAAAACAAACAAAGCAGTGACATAATTAGAATGTCAAAAGTTGTAAGCAAGAAGTACCCCACAAAGTCCCCAGGATAAACCTATTTTCGTGGCACCTGAATAGAGAGATAGTGGGTACTTTTTTACCCCTCCCTGACATAAGAATGCTTGTCCCATAAGCTCCAAATCAACAGAAATTTAGCAACAATCTTGTTAGCATAGTGAAAAAGTTTGCCCGGATTATCTCGACTGCTTTTACTCTTCTCCAAGCTCTTAATTACCTACAATTGACGGATTCTATGTGGGCTGAACGTGACACAAAGAATGGGTGAAAAATGACCTGGAGAAGTACCATCCGGGGTAAGGAGCTACGGCGGTCACAGTGGAATGGAGATAGTGGGGGTGGGGGTAGAGGAGTCCTGACGACTTACGTCCATTTAAAGCGAAAATTTTCTCACAATATCAATCTTGTGCTGGATTGAGAGATTTGGATGTACACCTGAGGGAAATTGTCATTTCAAGTGCCTACAAATTCCATCACACCACTTCAACAATTTTCCCAAACCAAATTAACTGCTTCAGAAAGAAAAATAGACTGTTGGAAATGAGCAAGCACCAAACACTAACCAGTTCACCTTCCTTCGCATTTCCAACCAATTGTACTTACAAGGGAAAAAGTGACACTCCTTTGAAAGTACTGATTGAAATCGGAAGAGCAGGCCGAAGGAAGCTGATTGTAATGCTCATGAGCAAAAGGGAAAGCCGACAACGGTATCATTTTTTCTCCCGGAGTACAAATACAAGTGCAATAAAAAATTCTGCCTAGCAAAGGAAAAGCGTAGATGATGTATAAAGAACGGGCGAGGAAAGGAGGAAGAAACAGCTAAAGTACAACGCCTAGGATGCTGATCAATCTGAGCTTTACAACCCACCAGAGATGGTGAGAACAAAAGGAACAGAGTGGAAGAGGAATTAAAAAAGACAATATTATTATCAGTAATCGCGAAGATTCCCAAAAGGACACTGCTATATAAGCACTTCGGCGAAATTTAGGTTCATCAGGCATGTATAGTGTTAGCATCTGTTTTGCGTTTTACGCAAAACGCAACACTATTCCTTAAACATCAATAAAAACCAAGGAATGAAGAACAGATGGAAAAGTATGATGCTGAAAGCCTTGTAACCAACCTGATAAAAGTGCAAGATACCTCCCCATCACTGCTTAGCGCCAAAGGTGGAGCTCCCTGTCTAGCAAAAAATGGCACAAATTTCATTTTTGCACCAGCTTGAAAAATGATAGTCATGGGATCAGTAACCGACGATGGCTTGCGTGTAGAGGACCCTTGAGCCCCCAGAGAGCCTGTCAAGGGGAGCCCCTCCTCGGAGGTAGACGGAAGTGATGCTGGTGGATGCGGTACTGTAAATGGAGCAGTAGCGGCCGCAGTCGCCGCTGCAGTAGCAGCGTCAGTACAGATCACTCCCGATTGAGCCGTGCCAGGATCCTGCCACACACCGGCGTAAGAGAAGCTCTTGCGCACTGGAGACGAGGGCTGTGGATTGGAAGAGTTAAGCATACGTTGCTGCTTCTCCCAAGGAACCACTAACTCCGTCTCATCCATGGTTACAATGAAGATATTTCAGTACCAGTCGATATAGGCGCCTCTCTGGTCTTCCCCTTTTGACTAGTGATAAGCAGCCAATGGGAAGTGGGCGAGTTCATTATTGGCCGGTTTTAGGAACTTTTGGTTGGGGCAAGGGATGGACTGACTATTGACTACCAAATGGCAACTGACTGTCAAATGTATTGGATACATGTAACGTGACGATATCAAAGAATCGGAAGGCATGAAAACAGCAACCAAAAAATGAGTGAAAGGAGAGAACTCTGGATGGCTTCATTAACACATCCGCAATCGGAATTCAATGACTATTCGTTGCTTAAACATGGCATCACCAGCTGAACAATTTTGTGACTACCAAGATATATGATATACGACTGACTGGAATAAGCAGTTGCCACATGAAACATAAATGTAAGGATGAACTCAGGTTGAGGAAATGAAGGCGTAGGAATTGACGCGGCGTGATAAGAAGCACGCCTTAAAGGAGGGGGAGCGCAGTATCATAAAGTTATTTTTACGATCGAAGATAAAAATAGAGGTTATGGGTGAGCGAGAGCCCATAAAACTCACCTAAGAAATTTGATATTGGTGGACATGGATCTGGTGATACGGAAAGCACAATTTAAGAGAGAGCAAGGAGCACGCGCACACAGAGAGACCAGCTGCAATGATAAACAAAAGTTGACGCACAGCAAGAATGTAGTAGAGAACAAACTAGTAAAGCTAACAAACAAACACTGCTACTGAAATGTTCAAGACTTAAGAGCAAAGTTGTTAAATCCCACACTTAGAGATTTCAGACGTGTAGTCTCAAAAACCCATAATCCTTGTGAAATTAATATGCAATGAATGAGGAACAGCTAATCAAACTATAAAACTAACATTGAGAAAAGTAGCTGCATTATTGATGATAACATAGGATCTAAAATAATGGCACAGAATATAGATGCCTTAATATTTCTCTAAACATTGTTACGATAACCAGAAGAAGAGCAAGAGATGTGCATCACGAATGTTCAACTTCGAACAGCCTAACTAGCATGATGCTAGTCCGCCAAATCCACCCATTCTAGTGAAGAACGCAAAGATCGGAGTTCGGGATGGTTTGAGAAGGTGATTTCTAATGCGGGTGACCCGAAACACGGCGGACACCCATTTGACATAACAGGCTAGTCCGCAGTAGAAGTAAGTTTGAGAATGAGCAGGTTTTGAAGCTTAAACTGAACTATGACTAAACGAAAATGCGGAAGTTTACTCTACTACTCCAGTGAGAGGCCCTAGGGCAATTAAAATGTAATAGGAGGAATAGCATTCCTAACTCTACCGCCGTTGAATACTTTAGGAAGAGTAGGAATTACAAGCAAACAAACGTGACCAAGCAACGGAATAAGCAGTTAAGAAAAACGAAGACACTGACGGAATACGCGTATAATGACCTCGGACAAAGTTACAGCAAATGTGAATAGCCCAAATAGGGATGGTGAGGGGACCCATCACGTAGTTTCGCAAATTGATGCATTTCACTTCAAGCCAATTGCTCAGCTTTGGAAACTTCATTTTAGCGTAACCATGAAAGCTAACTGCAGCAAGTCTCACATATAAAGCGGGAACGAGGCCAAATCTTGTACAAGTGACCGATAGCGACCTCAGGATAAGCACGCCAAACACCTACAGAATATTCACCCAAACATCATACAACGACTCGCACGTGTGAGGGATGAGAGCCGGAACTTGATTGTCTTAAAAACTAGCAAAAAGCACAAAATTATACTTTTATTGGCATATTTCCATGTAGGACCAATAAAGGACATATTTTGGGTGAACAATTTCGCTATACAGTGCCTTAAGTTTCATTGACTATTGACAGTCCTAACAAAGAAGAGCACTGCATTCTTTAACGAATTATCCCCAAAGGAACATACGAACTTATCATCAACCGTTAACTTCCCATTTTTCGTAACTTTGTGTCTGCTTAAAGGAAATATTTGACTTTCGTGATCGGATAAACTCAAGAATACAAGGCTATGATAAGCAGATGCTAAGTAAAGTGCTCTGAGACTTCCTGTCTGACAACCTCTTAGTACTTGTACTCTGAGAAAGAGGGGAGATTTTGGGCTTTCGCATGGCCCGCAAACTAGCCTACGCAGCCACGAGATCTATGGAGACTGAGGTTTCCGGCAGTTATCCTGATGGACAAATGAACAGGAAGTGGCACTGATAGGGTATTTACAGATTCCAGGACACAGAGATTTTCTATTTGAAGGTGAAGGATGTTAGAAACAACTGATTGCTTCTATTTTGACATATTAATCGACGAAATCCGAACGTCTGCCTAAATGGTCGCTACGCATGCAAGGAGTTGAGCATCCGGGGGATTAGGATACTCTTCTTCTCTAGGCAACGTCTGTAGCACTTCGCTTGATGCACGTCTCATGTCGGCCTCCGCAATGTATTCATTGCTGTAAGAAAAACATCCATATACAAGCTGCCGCAGTCATCAGCTTCTTTTAGGTTCAGGGACTGCAATTCAGACTCTCAGCACCATCACTTTAAGCTAAAATTAAATTTGATCTAGGAAGAAGAACCAGAAGCGGGGACTCCTGTGAATACCAATTTCATCCAAGGGCGGACAATGGGATACCAACCGCAGTTGTCGTACTCATTCCTTTGATTATGAAGGAGTTGGAGATTCTCCCAGTCCAAGTAATATGCACTTGCACTGTGGAGGTTTGTCACAAGCGGTTGAAACCAGAATAATAGTAGTAACAAAGTCGGATTTGCTTTCGGCTTCCAAAAAGCAATTCCTCGCAGTTCTCTTATTGCAAGGGCGCAATGGCCTATTCCAAAAAACCAACCAACCCAATAGAAACAAGATAGACTAATGTAGTCGCCCCTCATACAGGTAGTCGAACAAGCAAAGTACTCCACCGAGATTTCTTTATCGGTACTTTGAGGCATACCACTTGAGTTGAATGCAAATATTATAACAAAAATGCGGAGACAGCATTTTCAGCGGTTCACACAGCAGGAGCATTGTGATTACTTATTTTAGGCGATAAATCCTCCGAGTTAATTGCTGCAACACAATCGGCGCTGCAAGAAAAACCCACGATCGGAGTGCGAAAATTTTCGATCATGCAACTGGAAGGTATTAACTTGATCACATCTTCACCAATCCACTTTAACAAATCTGCAGCTTTGTATGACATAAAAATAGACTTTAGTAACTTGGAATTCTAGTAGCCCTCATGTGGATTCACAGCTAAAGGCTGGAACACAGATCTAAAAATAGGTCCACAAAGGGACAATGAGATTTAACACACTCCCATGCGAGCAAAGAGTCTCGTAATTCTACATACTCCACACCTGTGTGCAGTTGCGGTAGGAGAATCTTGATAACTGAACTTTTCTAGGTGATTTACGAGAGGTGCCACTTCCGTGGTCAACACCTCGCCTGTGGAAAGTGACGATTGGATAAATACCGAGGACAAGCGTCATTCTTCACCCTTCTGTCGTGAAAAATCAGAGACCGTCCCACCTGTAGCAATGTGCACCTCATTTGCATTGCAAGTTTGCCGTAAACCGTAGAGACCAAGGATAGAAGTTATCAAATTTCACTGTTTTCTCCTGTCTCCAATATTAGCGCTCCGAGGCAAAAGGAAAAGTGACTGAGGCCGACCCATTTGGCAGCGGCAAAATGACCACTTAAATGATAGCCAATCCTATAGACTATATATTATCACCTGCGAATTTCTTTGTCATCAATTCTAGTAAAGGTACTTGTGCCCTTCGCGATTGGCACACCACATGACCCCTAAAATAGGCCAGAAATCTCAATGACTGATGACTCTATCCACAAACCACAACCCTATTGCTGCCATGACCATCACAAAGGGTTGTCTGAATGCTGATAAGGTCGCTCATCCTAGGGCCAAACACTCAAACTGGAAGTAACATCATACAACTACAACAATCCTCTGACAGGGCATCACATTTATTTGCACTTACTTGTGCTACAGGCTCGAGGAAAAGAAGTTATGCGGCACACGAGATAAATAATGAAAACGGAAATATGGATTATCACGATGAATGAAACAGGTAAATGCAAAGTAACTAAAAGAAGGAGGCAAACGATAAGGCCATGACTAATCTGACTCCTTGTCCTCCTCCTCATCAGGAATGTTCTGCACCAGCTCCAAGACGTGCTCCGCGGGTCTCACACGTCCATCCTCACCCACAACTCCAGGTTGGATTAAACCGCTTCTAAGATGCCAAAAAATTGGATTGAATGTTTTACGTGTGTGTTTAGGGAAGCATAAAACACAGCTACCATTCCCTCTCGTGAGCATGCATCAACAAAGGAGAATTAATTGCCAAAACTCGTCCACAAGTAGCATAAAGTTATTCCAGAAAAAAGACCAAAAGAATTTGACAAGTGTGATAAATGCAAATGGCACAGGGGTTCATTTGAAGCCTAGTGCATAGACCACGGGAAGGTTTTGGAGCCAATGCTCCGGCTTACGCAGAAAGCGGCCAAAGGAAAAAAAGAAGTATAAAAGTGAGAAACTGTAAATAAAACTGACCTTTGAAGTTGATCAATCTTGTTGACTAATTGCATAGCCTCAAATTCCTTTTGCTCATCACTGAGACCCTCCATCGGATTACGACGCGGTGGTTCAACACGACCCGTTACAGGATTAATTTGGTCTTTCAGCTCCCGATAGTCCTCCGTCTCAGAGTCTGAGGAGGCTGAAGAGTAGGTGTCGCCACTGCTACGGCTCCCAGATGGTGCCATGAGACCGTGACGTGAGAGGAAACCCACAAAATTCCCAAATCCCGAATACTTCACGGCACGATCGACTAGAAGAAAGCAGAGTGCACGATATAAGTGGTTAATGGCTATTCAATTGTTGCAGGCACGAAAGCCTTCGCTTTTCACGCACACCGCACACAAACCTAAGAAGGTTCAATTCAACCACTTACCCATCTGGTTGATGAAGGGGAATGAAGAACACGAACTAAAGTACATAGAGAGGCGAGTACGCATATGCTAAGAGTTCATCAGCCTCTGGTGTGGGAAGTATTATCTTCAGTGGTGCCAAATACGACAGGAAAACTACTTGTCTAACAGGCCAAATTTTCTTACCCGTGTTTGTGCCTATTGTGGTGCATCTACCATTCTCTCTCGGCGTCCTACGGAAAGTTGGTTATGCGTCTCCGTGTGCGACCATCTGACATGCAACTCTCATAAATTTTAATAAATTAAATTGACTTTTCAAAGGAATGCTGTCAACGAATTGGCGTGTGGTCACCGTACCAAGAGGAGGCTATGAATGATGTATTTAACAGCAAGTCACCCTCACGCCTTGATTAGCTGACAACACATCCTCAGATGGGAAATATTGAATACAATGAACAAGTGACCTCGAAAGTCAAATAGTCCATCTATCTTCGTTCCTATCTCTTCCAAAGAGGATTAAAGAAAACAGGCGTGTAGGACAGAAAAAGAATACTTGGAACGGGTGTTGGACAACATTCTCCTCTCATTCCATCATAAGGTGATCTTACAAAGTCCTAGGGTCCAAAATACTCTCCCAAGAAAGGTGTATCGTGAAAACTTTCAAAGTGTGCCGTGCTCACTGTACTGCTATGTTTGTTTACTTTGAGGTAAGTGAATTCGCGAATCAACAACAAAGAATTTCACCAGTTATAGAACTTTAATACGCGCGTAAAAAACGGTGAGAAATGAATTATAAGCTTTCCATCAGTCTGTTGGTGCATGGGATGCGGTACTCTTCCTCATCATACTGCACCTGCCATAACAACCCTGGCAAATAGTGTTAAAAAAGCCACGGTGTAGTTGAAACTAAATGAACCTAGATCCGTGAATTAACAGCTTCTAAACGCATTCATCGACCCGACGTCGACACCAAAAAAGACCACCACCAAATGATCAAAGCCACTTCACAAATAAAAGTAGTTTCATCAAGTCGAGTTAAAAAAAAACAAAATTTCTTGCATGCTAAGGGATAAACTTCACCTTTTTCCTTGCAGAGAATAAAAATGAGCAGTGCCACAGCCTCCACAGTTCCATCGTCCAACTTTGCCCTGGCAGTTAATCTACTGCACAGCCTGAAGACAAAGGTTGAAAGTCACAGCAGCCAAAGAGGTACCCACCTTCGAGTAATGAAGAATTCTACATACCGGTTACGAAGAGTGTTGCCTGTTTCTGGCAGACGCTTGACATCTGCACCAAGATGCGGCAGCAGCTACAATTTCATAGTAAAAAAACCAAAATGAAACAGGCAGAACAGTAATCTTGCGGATCATTTCTTATGAGAAGGATGAAGCACCTACCCTCATGCGGAAGTACTTTCTGATTGTCCTGTTAGCCTTTGAAGCAGTAGCCATTACCGTCAGAATGGGAGAGAGCAGTTGTCCCGGATGAGATGACGACTTATCATCCTGTTTTTTTTCACCAATTATAAAAAGACGCAAAAACAAGCGATCAGCTACAAAGCCTCACATCTTTATTCTTTGCAATAAAGTGGTGAACTGTGAGGCTGGTTATATAAAGACAATGATGTAAAGTCTTGAGCATGCTTTAGTCCTCCTCAACCCTCATGCAGCAAAATACCTTCAAGTTAAACCGATTGAAAAGAGGCATCAGGGCTATAATGCTTTGGAGTGATAAAAACCACCTCGTATATAAACCCATCCAGACTTTCGGAATCGCGATGCGCCTTGACAAATATTCCAACGCCAAGGTTTACGCTGAGGACGACTGCATAAAACCAAATTATGAGGTCTGAGCTAAAAGAGCGGAGCTCTCCTTATACACTTGGTAAAATAATCCAAACGCACAGATAGGTGGTAAAATAGCAATAAGGTGAGAACAAAATACCTTACCTGTGTTTACCTAAGCAGTGACAACTGAGTGGGTGTTACTACAGATAAAAGGCGAACCCCGATATGAAATTACTGAGAAACTGTTCGTCTGTAGCCTCTACTATATAAGAGGCCATTGGTAAAGCACAACCACAAAACTTCTACAAACTTAACAGCAAGTGGAGATGCAACAACGCCCAACCTAAACTGGGACACGATTCTACACGCGCCACAAGGTAGATGTAGTGTTAATGGATACATAAGAGCTGAATTTAGTGAATGATTTAATATTGCAAAAGTAGTGGATGAAATCCAGGAGACTTTGCTGATAAAGGTGTGAGAACTGACCGCGAAGGTACTTACTTCTACCTGCAGAATAGGATTCATTCAATCAAATAACTTGTCAAAATATATCTTGCTATTTCATGCAAGGGAAGAATTACTTGATCCAATTGATACTCCAGAAACTCGACAAGAACCGAGAGACCTTGAGTGGCCTGAGGATCTGTGTGAAAGTCCCCAGATTGCATAGATGCCTCAAGATCAGGGGGAGGAAAGAGTAGCTCCACGTAGCATGCAGTTGGAACCGTCGTGAGAAAGTTGACCAAATGGCTGCGAAAGAAAAAGTTTGTTCGAGTTTTTACTGGTGTCTACCTAACGAGCTCCATTCTGCGTTCACGAGGCTTCGTCGGATTCACAAGCATTTCACGAATGACTGCAGTAAGGTCACGATACGAGGATTCATAAAGCCGCTAAAGGAGAGACGAGAACAGTTAAATAGACATCAACTCACCTGGTCGTAATCTCGTTCTTTCTTTGCGTAACTTAAGTTAAAAAGCAGCTTTAACGTTTCTATAGCAATATCAACCATTTGAGGTTGAACAGAGAAGTCAGAGGCTAGCGTCCATCGAAGAAGGTTAACAAAAGTGTCGGATTCAAAACGCGATGTAAGAATTTCAAGACGAGCGGCTGACTCCAATGCAGAACAGAGGAAGAGTACCTTCAGATCGAATAATGCGATTTGGAAGTTTGAGGGGCCCTTAGTCTGAGCCTCACAACGGTCCAGCAACGTATCAAAGCAATGCTTTGTTCTGTTCAATGTAAAAGCAAAGAAGTACTTGTCAGAATAACACCAGAATGAGCAAGTGTGAATGTAAATCTCCAACGACGGCATGGGACTCAGCTAATGGTATCTACGGTAGAATAGCCATTAGCCCAAAGGAGGGCATGAAAATCCCCAACTCGACAATAACAAAAGTAACAAAGCACAACATCGAAAAAAACATACCTCAAGTGCTGGATAACCTCCGGATTTTTAAAAATGACATTTGAGAGGCATTTTAATGCTCCTATAATGCATTCATCCGGTGGCTTTGGTGAATATGGATCAAGAGCTGCTTCTCGAAGTAGAAGGGCGAGCGTGTCGGATTCGGACAAACGCTTCTGGTAATCAGGATCGCGACTCAAAATGAGCAAACAAATGATGGCATCAGCATTGTTCTGATTTAGTGAATTTCCCAGAAGCGTTTTGCACTCCGAAAAAACTTTCTATAAAAACATTTCAAAAGATGAAAATTAATAAAAGCGAACCAAAAACCACGCGAAAACAAAGTATAAATAGTAGCAAAGCAAACATCGTACGGAAATTAACGTAAAAGGCGAGAATTTGTTGTAAAAAGGACAGTTATGGCAATAACAAAGTTACGCAGCGAAACTTTAAAGGAAGATTTATCGTTAAAAAGGAAGCAAAATGCAGACCAAAGATCGTGGAGACAGGAAAATCTGCAGGCGGAAAAAAGAAGCCTACTTCTTTCAATGGTCCAGGCACATCTGATAGGGAAAAATTACTTTCGTTCTAAAAAGATTAGAACTGTATTTAGTAAACCTGTTTTCGAAATTCAACAAACAAAGTTGGGTCCATCACGCCAAAACGTAACCCACGTCGAGGAGCTCCGTTCGCACGAAGGGAATAACGTCTGCCGCTCACCAGTGTAGCAAACCTAAACACATTACAAAAAAGAAAAAAATGCATTTCTTTTTACAAAATAACTTCAAAAAAAACACGTTAAATTCCTAACTTTTCAGTTTAATTATAAACAAAATTTTTCTTAGTACAAAATATTAATAAATATAATAATAAACAATATTGAAAATAATATTAAGTTTGTTAAATTATCAAAAGCATTAAGGTCATTTTTGTTTATACTAACAAATTTTCATCAACAGTCCTGCGCAATCTTTCAAAATTGTTAATTAATTTTATAGGCACTCGCTATTTTTTATTACATATGGATGCTAAATATTTACCGCAGCTGTCTTAATTAAATTACTGCCTTTGTTACGTTTAAAGTTAAAAAGGCATTATCTTTCAATACTACACTTCACTAATTAAATGCAGTATCGTATTCAATTGTTTAATATTTTTTTTATTTTTAGGACATACGCCTAATACTGTAAAATAAATGTGTACTAACTCGTGTTGCATTAGAACCATTGGAAATTTGTCCTGTCTTTTTGCCTTGGTAATGTCCGTTTTTTTATTGCCAAAACATTTGAAAATTTTGAGCATTTAGCAGCTGCGTTGTATGTTTTTAGATGCTTGGAATATGCTGCTTTGTTGTGTGCTTAATGGGAATATACGCGCATGGTGAGATCACCAAAATATTTGGAGTTAACCTTTACTATGGGATGTACGTCGTGCTTTTTGCCAGTCTCTGTACAATTTGGATGGCCCTGTTGGGAATGTTCGGAATGTCGTTCAAAAATCGCTTTTTTGTTATTGTGGTCAGTCAATTTTTAATGTCGCTGCAATTAATCTTTGCCGTTTCCATAACAAACACAGGGACGTTTCATTCTTAACTTTTCTTCACTAGTTTTGACGTGCTCTTTTAATTTCGGTCTCTACACAAAACTCTTTAAGCTTTTCGCAGGATCAATCCTCCTCATCACTATATGTCTTGTCGGACTGCTGCTTATTTTACTGTTCCCTTATTTGGTGAGGACCATTATTTCACCCTCTTCATTAACATTTCTGGCTAAGTATTTCAAATACTAATATCGTTTGTAGGCTGGAGATAACGTAGGATCAATAATGTCAAAAAATTTAAAAGACAACTACGGAGACTCAGCTCTGATTACAGCAACATGGGACTACCTTCAAAGCTATCTTCTCTGCTGTGCAGTTGATAATAACGGTTGGGACGCTTGGCGATATTCCAAATGGTTCCAGGACCAAAATTCATTACTTTTGGATGATATTGACACTATTCCTGGTTGGTTATTTCAATCTTCCGACTTGCCTAAATTACCAAATTGGGTCGTCATAATTCAGCCTTAATTTTTTTGCATCATGAATCATATTCCGACCATCCGGTAATCTTTCCTCTAGCATTTAATACGAGTTTTTCCCGAACTACATTGGCTATAATGAGTAACCAAAAGCCAAGAAGATTGACATCGAGTTTTAAGCAGTGTGCATTTACAAATTCTAATACATTGACGAGTCAGAGGACTAAGAAAGTTTGCGGCGACGGTTGATTATTCTTGAAGTACGCAATACTATAAGGGCAAAACTCGTAACCTGCAAGTGTATTAGCGCACAAGTCCCGAATGTCGGGAAGAAACATCTCTTAATGCTCTTAGACTCCTTCTCAGACGAAGAAAAATGAACAAAACAGCCCGTTCCTATTGCTAGTATGTTAACAACATGCATTTCTGCCCGGTTAACGCCCATAGGCATTAATGTCGTCGCCAGGCAACAGAGGAAGTATGAGCCAACAACTCTAACCGACAAGGTGGTTAAGATTCGAATTATATGCCGTTTTCTCATTACACTCAGACATATTGTAGTAGCCCAAACGAAAACCTTGCACTTCTTATTTGACCTTGCAAGCGCAGAGGTTTTACTAATTTATGCCTTAATCTCTGTAAGTAACATAAGCCATTGGAAGGATTGAAGGATTTTGCTGTAAACAGACAACGGCCTAATGAAACGGGGACACAATCGGCTGGACGGCCCTAAACTGCCATTTAGTGAGTTGTACGAGCCCCATGCCTACCTCCTTCCACTACGGCCATTTGCTGGTACATAAAATACGACCTGAAACGGACACAGAGAAAATTTGCATACATAACAGAGCCACCAAAACATCAGTAATAATGGTACAATAAAATGCAAATGATGAGCTTCCTGCAATGCTAATGCATCACGATCAGAAGTCATCAATCCTGAATGCAAAACCGTGCTCGATGACTTAATTACATCGGAAGACATTAATGCACCAATTGAATGTTCTTGTTCTATTTTGAGCCTCCAATCCAACATTTCAAATGGTACCGAAGTCCTGCTGCTACAGAAAGTTGGATTACATAACGCGCCAACTGACCGACGAATACGAAAACCTCCATCGGTGCCAAACTTGGCAGTATGGACCCCCAAAGTTCAGGAGCGGACCACACAATGATGCATTATACTATAGGGTAAAGACAAGCAGAGCATAATCCACTTTTTTAGGGATGTCTGCCAACGATTAAAGCCTACATAAAGAGATTCAACTTCTGGATACTCCTGTTTGGATTTTGTACGCTTTTCTTTTTGATAACATCCACAGCAACTGGATTCATCACGCTCCAACACATACGATGATGACAGACCAAAATGGTTCGATTTAAATGCATGGAACTTATACAAGCACCAATAAAGACTACACATAGTATACAACATTCTCAAGTAACTGCAGACACAAACCAATGGCAATGAATACTAAACATAAATAGATACCTGAAAACAGACCACCCTAACAATCAGAGGCACGCCTGAATAAATAGGGATATAACAAAAGCAGAATCATATAACTCCTTTAATTCACAAATAACTAGTCAAAGAGACTGAAACCCATATCGGCATCAGATTCTTCAGACTCTTCCTTCTTTTCTTCCTTGGGAGGAGGGGCCACCTTGGCGTTATCCTTAGGAGCTTCAGCAGCAGCGGCGCTGGCAGCAACGGGGGCACCACCTGATGGAGCAGCAGCGGCAGGTGCGGCGGCCCCAAAAGAGACAGCCGACATCTTCTCCTTACCGGCATTAATCAATTCATGAACGTTCTTGCCATGCAATTGACCAACCACCTAATTACATTAAAGGCACTAAGGTTACACTTGCCAGCTTGGCTCGCTCTTGCTCACACTCAATACCAACTGAATTCAATATATTCTTAAGATCCGACTCCTGAGGACGACTAGTACCACCAAGCTGAGCCAGAAGGTAAGCAGCAAGATAACGCATCTTCACAAGATCACGACCGAGATTCAAGCGGCGCGCGAAGCAGAGCCGCACACGGACTTAAACAATAGTTAAATGTATAAGTTGAATAAGGGCTTCGCAGTGCAGGTGTTTAAAGTTAGGCCTTAAGCAAAGTATGAAAATAAATACTTGTAAAAAAGAAAATTACTAAAGCTAAAATAATTCATTGTTTATTAATGCATATGCTTCTGAATGAGATAATTTAACTTTATTGAAATTCTAAAAATGGTTTTAGCACCATAATATTTATTAAAACATAAAGTATGACACAAAATGAGAACAAATGCATGTGTTTTAAGGAAGACGAATGTATTATGTCTGGACTTGTATTTAAGGTCCTCCCACGCATTCATCGGCTTGATGAATCTTAAAGCAACTGGCATACATGAAAATGCCAAACAAAAGAAATGCTATACTATTGATCTTCTTTTTTAAGGGGCGTTTTTGGTGCTTCCTCGGTACCCCTCTCTCATCAGCCGTCGCAAAGCAGTCGGTGCTGCCAACTGCGCAAGCAGCAGTTTTCATGAGACTTACGAATGGTATGTAATAAATACTTGCTTGTTTAAGTAGACTTTTGTAGGAGAAAGGCGAGAACCAATTAAGAACGTGATCGCTTGCGCTAAGACGGTAAGGATTCTCTCTCCAGTTGATATCTCCTATTTGATCATCTACATCCCAATCTCCATTCTTCCTGTAACAAATGCCAAATAAATTATACACAACCAACCATCTCTTGAAGTCTGAGGTTCAAGGACATGAGGGTAGGCAGGCGGCTCTTACATGTTATTTGGAGATGAAGTTGGGTTCGGTCATGTGATACTTTGTTTATGCGACTACCTCACGTTTGGCTCTCACTATAGGATTTGTCTGGTCCTTTTACACGTGGGCTGGCCTTCGGACCATGTTCAGGCCCATTTGTTCAGTCGTCTTCAGAATACATGTATCCAGTTACACCTACTGTCTTCTTATGCCGACTAGGAAGTCTTGGAACGCTACAGATCCGACAGTTGTACCGGCCCAAGTCTTCCCATCGAGTACAAGAAGACAGTAAGTGAAGTTTAATACGTGTATCTCAAAGGGGAGAGAGCAGACAAATCTTTAAAAAATCGCCAAACATCATATTGTGAAATAAACAAAGCATTGTACTGCTACTCTTTCCATTTGAGCAACATCCTCGGCGGTCCCTTTGATATACCTACCGCACCAGCCATCACAACGTATTCGGTGCTGCAAGAAAGTTTCCACGAGCCAACCGCGCCAGTCGACAGTGTGGGGAACCGTACCTGGTCTCCTCGGCAGCTTCAACTGGATCTAGATACACGTTCGGTCTGACAACCAGATTTGGGCCGCATATCTCTGTTGAGCATCAATTTATTCCAGAACTAGATGGTGGAACTCTGGTCTAAAACAGATATTTTACAGGGGGATGGGATGAATCACTGTCCCATATATAAGGAGAACTCTAGGGTCATTTTCGACAACTAGACATGGACTATGTATAGGAAATCCCGACACGAAACTTTTCCAGATGGTTCATGACGGTGTCGCTTCACTTGTTTACATTTTGTGGAACACGGACACAAGACGAAACCAAACACAAATTATCATTCTCAGCCCAGCTGTTGTGAAGGATTCATAGGTTCTCCCGCCTACGATGTAAATGCGCTCCCTCCCCAACGAAGATATATCCCACAAATGGCACATGCTGGGGTAGAAGTCATTAAAATTGTAGGACACGCATTTTACTGCCACCAGTGTAGCGTTCCAAGACCTCCCGCCTGATATGAGGCATTAAGTACAGATGAATACCTGTATTCTTGGGAGAACAAAGAAATTAGGCCTGAGTATGGCTCAAAGGCAAGCCCACGGGTACAAGAGACGGACTATAATGCTTTATTTATGTGACCACTTCGGTCTTTTCGGACCATGCTCAGGACTAGTCGCTTGGTTCCCTTCGGAATACATGTGTCCAGCCACACAAACATCTGTTGTCACAGAAACAAGGTATTCCATTAATATATTTAGTCTATTTTTTGAATATGAGCAATGATATACTGTCTAATTTTTGCAATGACACTTTACCATGGACCTAATTGGAAAACCGAGCTTAAAGTTTAATTCTTTGATAAGTAATTCGAGCAAACTATGCATGATCAGTGTAATTTTTGCGCCTAGAGTCTGTAACACCTTGTTTGTGTGACCACTTGACGTCTGGCGGCTATTTTAAGGTTCATACGACTCTTGTATGCATGTGAGGGGCTTCTGGTCATGGCTGGGTTGTAGCCCTCTGCTCCACTTAGTGCCTTCTTCTACACTGTGGCAAGTCTGGGCACTCTGCGGAGGCTTTCCACTAAATGAAAGATTGGGTTAAGTTAAGCTGAATACATATATTTTAAGAGGTGAGGAATGGGTTGGGCTTTAGATTGACCCGAAGTCCAGCTCATGTCTACAGACATGGTCATCTGACATATTGGTGGTCACATCGACAAAGTATTGCAGTAATACGCTGAGACGCCTACTTGGTGGTAGTAAGCACTGGACATATTCGAATGCTTATACCTTACGTAGAAGGTGAAGATGGAGGGCTTTTTCTTGGTCCGAAGGCAACTTCTTCTATCCTATTTCTACTCCATGTGGGCTGGTCTTCGAGCCAAAGCAGAGTCCAATCTCTTCCACATAATTGAAAGACAAAAGGAGCTACTCAGCCATTCATGTAATGAAATACACAAAAATAATGCTGTTAGCATCTTTGCAATAAGTAGTCGACAACACATTTCAGTGTTTGTGGACTTTTTATATGTTCTTTTAGAATGGTCGAACGACCTGCTCACCTTTCAGAACAAAGTGTCTATGAATTCACCACATTCAAAGTCAACAATAAAAAAAAACACCAATTTAGTTACAGCTTTGACGTCACTGCTAAACAACTCCTCTGCAGTTTTTTTATCAACTTTCTTTTTCACCTTACGAGCTTAAATAAGCATTTGTCTAGTCGGTGCAGTCTTTAGCATAGAGAAAACTTGGGGCAAAAAGAGTTTTCTTCTAAATGAACAGGTTGAGTCGAGGGTCTCTGAGGGAATAGCTTTTGGGTCAAAATTCTACCTTCAACCTACAATGCGTATATTCTACGGTAGATGGAAGCTTCATTAAACACGTAAACGTTGATGTGATAATTGGTGTGCTTGACTGGCAGCATCAAATGTGTTCACCTAGGTGCCCATATCACATGTGGTTGGTGGTTTGAACTCTCTTGCTAATTATACGTACCCAACCCAACTATTGTGCCAGGGTGCACAATACTATCCTGGGAAACTGTATTTGCAGCGTACCGAGACTACCCACCGGGAAGAAGTCAGTAAGTTTAGCTAGATACACGTATTCCAAAGGCCAGCCTACCCACACGAGGACCAGACAAACCTTAAAGTGATTACCAAACGTCAAGGGATCACATGAACAAAACATTACATTGCTCCGATCTTCCCTTGAGTGACATCCTCGGGAACCCCCTTGATTTTACCTGTCGCGCCAGCCATCACAACATAATTTGTGCTTAATTGGCACATAATTGGTGCTTCGTCTCCTCGGCAGCTTCAACAGTGGGTGGAAGCATATTTCAGAGATTCAAGCTTATATAAATATGCCCAATTTTGACAATTTTAGGGGACTTCACGTACCAGGCATGTTTAAAATTTTGCTTAAGCACAAATTGACCTTCGATATATCTTTATCCCTTGCTTTACTATTTCGCTCTAAACGTCCCAGATGAAATCGTGCGTTTTAGGTTGCTCGAGGTTCTGGTAATTTGTGGCGATCTTGGTGCAACCTCATGGATGATATTGGAATAAGTCCTTTTAGTCTTAGGTAAGTTGCTATCCACAGGGCGAGAATAATAGCCTTGATGATGACCACAAATGATGTCAAACTGCCTTATTCTCACAGCTTTTGTAGGCTTTGCTTTTAGCAGCTGTAATACGTAGTGTTTACTACGATATGCCTTGAAGGAGAGAGGTAAGAATCCGGTTCGGACTCTGTGCTGATGGCGTGAACTAACTCGACTCCTGGACCCGAAGTGACACCTCTTTCGCTTCTCCTTCAAGACTACTCGCGGGATTCTGTACACTGATACCAATTAAAGCTTCTATAAATAAACGGACTTCTGAGGTGTCGGTCAAGAGGGAGTCAGACGATAGTAAGGCAGAGGCTACAGTAGCATCTTGCAGCCCTCGCTACACACATGTCCTTACTCTGCTAGCAAGAAATCACGAATTGTACGAAAATCGGGTAAGAACTAGACCATTTTTAGCTGGAATCAAATTTTAGATAGAGCTTACCACTGCAGCAGTTGTTTTCGAGACTGCACTTGTGAATAGTTTTCATTAAAAAAGCGGAATTTTTAACATCTGATCGACAAATTATTGACAGAATATTCTCCTTTTTAAATTACTTAACACTAACGAAAGCAGGAATTTACTTGAAAATCTTTCTAGGAAGCAAATGAGTCAGTTCCTCCCTTCATATGACCTCCAAATCGTCCTTGATTTAGAAGCCAAATCGAAGCAACTATTTGCTGCTTAATGCTCTTATTTTGCAGCACCATAAAAGCCTTTCACAAAGCAATGCATAGAATGGAAATGAATGGGTAGTACATAGGAAGTACTTTCGACTAATTTTTTTGTGTAGAGACTAAGAAAAATGTGGCTCTTGATCACATATCGTGTATTCTACTTAGTAAAAATTCAGTAGCATAGTCACATTTGAGTTCGGTTGGCTCACCCAGAGCATTGCGAACTTCATGAACCCCAAGAAAGGAATTGAATAGCTTCACATTATCTACCATTTCATAGAGAATGTCGCACATACACACGATTGCTTGTGAGATTTTGTCATTTTTGAATGTGGAAGAATTAGAGAAGCACAAACGTAGCAAAACGGATTTTAATTAAGTACTGAATGGTTTTAAGATCCTCTAATTATGTGCCCCTATGCATGATAATTTTACTTTAAGCACCACTATTTTTCGGTTCTCGATAATGCTTTGCCTAGGCATTGTTGGTTTCCCAGCAGAATGCGTTATCTCAACACTCCATCTCGCATTTCACCAAGCTGCTCCCCCAGCACAAGAAATAAGCTCCTTTTCCAGCATTTGTTTAAAAACACATTTTAAGGTAATTCTTTTCTTATACTAGTGCATAAAACTTGTATTTACCTCCAACTATGTGGTTCTAATGCGGAATTTTATCGCATTTTCATGTGTGGTGATTGGTTAGGCAAAAGAAAAATTTCAGTGCAGCATTTTAGCTCAAAGAAGGAGTTCCATGCGGAAGTGGAGAGAGGAGGGAGGGAAGATATGTTTTCTAGTATTTAATCGGCGTTTTATTAGGCGCACGTTCTACGTGAATCCTCTGGAGCATTGTTGGTTGGCACTCTCCTATTTTGTTCGCATTCTCCGACCCGAGAGCAACCTAAATGACAAGGCTTCAGTCGATTTTTGAAGCGTAGTTCTTTATGCAAGAGGAGTGAGGTTTAGGAATCCCTTTTTTCGTGGAATTGTGCGTACTTAATGAATGTTCTTCGTGATTTGATGAAAGTGCGTATACTTTCATTTAACTTGTTGTGCAAATCTCGAACCTCTTACATACTTTAATGTCATGTGACCGTAACGAAGATGCATCCATTTGCTCCCTTGGTGAATGGTAGTGAGTCCTTGAAACACCTCAAATATGAGTTGAGCTGATGCTCACTTCGACAAAGCACAACAACTCCAAGCTATCGTTTACTCAAATTCTCCACCATCTTTACTCGATCTAGTTGATCCATTTGTTGATGCAACTGTTGGATAGAAACGCTTGTAATAACAAACCTGAGACTGCGATACGTCGTGACACAACGCCTTCTTGACACCATAAAACTTCACCTAATCGGGAAGGCTGTGAACCATTTTTTTCTCACACCTTTTAATAGCATTGTTGCACAAGTTCACCTTTTCCGCACTGCAGACTTGTAAAGGAGCACCAAAAGAACACTCACATGCCAGACCTTCGTCAAGACCAAAATGATGGGCTTCTTCAGAGGTATTTGGAAAGCCCTCCAAGAGATAAGTTACTACTGCATCTTTTACAGTGTATCTGATGCCTCCCGACTTCTGAGGTACAACTACTTGACTCAAGAAACCGAGAAGGCATTCGAGTCTACCCAACCGAATGACCCGTCAGTGATAGGAGAGGCGAAATTCCATCGTGGTCATTCTCGCGGCCTGTTTCGCGAGGGATTGCCTGGTGAGGTGAAACAACACCTTCTCTTCCCTTTCCCAAATCCAAATCACCAACTAACACGAGCAAGGCGATTTCCACTTTACCAATGCAAGGTGGAACAGTCCATAGTACGGAGCTTATTAATGAGGCGACAGTTTTCAGGATATTCATGTCATTGTCCTGAGTTATAGCATTTCTCTCCTCCCCCCACCCTCCCTGCACCCACCCAAATAAAAAATCGTTCAGGCTTTCAATTGTAGCCCCAATTTTATGACCTACCTTAAGGGTCACACGCCCTTGACACGGGCTATTTTTAGTCATAGTTATAAAAACCTTGCAATAAGGTTTTGTGAAATGGTGCTATGGTAACTTTAACCACTTTTGGTGTTTCATTTTTCCACCATTAAGTTTCGTCCAATGGTAAGGCGGAGTTGTGGGCCCCACGGCCACAGGTCGATCCCTTAGAATTGGAAATAGCACCTTCAAAAGTCTTCCTCTTGACTGTGGAGGTGTAAGTGGAAAGTGACTTGTTACAACCTCCAAAGGATCAAAACTTTAACAGTCAAAATCTATGCCGCTGAGACAGATTGATAAAGTTATAAATGCTAGTTGTTTGGAGGTCCGATTTGGACTGCTTCGACGTGCATAGGAGAAAGCCTTGAATGGTGGGACATTGGGAGAATCTGCACAACACTCCGATGACTCAATGCATTGACAGGTGTTTGAACGATTCGGTAAAATTGATGGAAATTTTACAACTGCAATTGATTACTCGGTCCCTCAAAAGGGTAACTTAAGATGTTCTGCTTAATTAAGCCAAATTGTGTACACCTTTCTCCTTTCATCAAGTAAGTCCGTCTCCAAACCAGGTCTCAATGCAGCAGTCACCTTAAAATGGTCCATCTTGGAAGTGAGGCCTTTTAAAGATCACATTTTAGGTTTGCAGATTTGAATAAATTGATGGCATACCGGTGATTGGCGCTTTTTACAGAGGTTATTCGTTTCAGGGATTGTTAAGCTCCTCCTCCATGAATCCATGGACTGTTGATAAGACAAGTGCAAGTTTAAATTTTGTGAACTTATTTTTAATTCGGCTTAATGGTAGCCCAAAAGTCACTCCCTATCGTGATTGTAGAAACCACAATTTACGGTGTCCGAGTTATTTCATTACACGCCATTTTGGGATGGAATATGAGAAGGCAATTTCAACACGCTGTGATGAGAGACTCTCTGGGCTTCACATTATCATCGCCGGTTGAACTGTCTCAACGATTATTGGGGAGACTATGGAGAATTCGAAATTTCATTCTGCTTTCGCCAAGTGTATCATTATTCTGCTCTGGAGAGTTATTAGTTCTAACCTCAGATGGATGGAGTTTGTCGTAAAATCATCTACAGAGTAGCCACACATCGATAGGAATAATGCCAACTGTGTTCAAATATGTCAAGATCCAAGTTGTAACGCACTCGAGGATAGAATCTTGATAGCTGGGATCTCACATACGACCATCGTGGACCATACCCTCAATCATCGCGAATCTTCCCATCTTCTAACCATTGAGCCAATTTAAAAGTGGAAGGAATGACTAGTATCAAAAGTCAAATGACGGGGTTGATATCGCCACTCTCAATTCATAGGTGAAGCATTGAGGGAATTTCCATTTCATCACGTGAAAGGAGGTGCATGCGAGGCCAACAGGTATGTCTTCGTTTAACAACTTCAATGGCACATCCATGTTCACCATGTCTCCGATCCGACAGACAATGACACCAAACAAAATTCTTGCATTATAACACTTAGAATCACCAATTTCAAAAAAAAACGAATGAAAAATATGACGTTTGAGATTTTTATCCTCAACACTGTCAAGCATTTTAAAAATTGCCGCGCTCCACTCCCCTCTGCTCTGATTGGTTGATATTAGAAGGGGATGTACTTTAAATAAGCATGGACTCCTTAAAGCACCAAGGTCACACATGTGCCATTGAAAGTCAGAGGTGTAGCAACTTCACTCTCCCCCTACAAAATCAACACATACTTCTGTGCCATAGGCCTGGTCCTGGGGTGTTGGGTTAGCGAAAAGAGGCAATCCATGCTCATCCTCGCAGATGGCATTTTCAAGCACGATGGTGACTCACCAATTAGACGTAAAGGTCGCAAAGAGCCGGACCCGATGCACGGTTCACAATTCACACGACTGTGTGAATTTTGCTTTAGTAAACGTTTTCTAATGTAGTAGTGATTTTAACGTTTAGTTTCCATAAAGAAGTTAGGTAGAAGGACAGAAAATGAAGATTTTAACTCAATCAGCGTGAGGACTTAAAGCATCGAAGAGGAAGGAAGTGGACGATCTCACGCAACACGGAGATATCGAAATAAGAACTGCCACAGGAGGAGTTGTTGTACAAGAGAATTCTCCTCCACGACAACGTTGATCCAAATACATGACATTTAATTTGTATCAAAAACCAACCCTCAATAAAATTATAACTTTTCTCTGTTCCTTTGCCCTACAAAAACCTTCTCTGAGTCACTACTAAAAAAATGGTGTGATGAATTACCTCCCATGTAACCATTAAAATCCACACTTTTCCCTCCATTCCTCCTCTTTCTTATGACTGCGTTGCTACCCTGCAGGCATTGTCGGCTAACTCGTTCGTTGTGCTGCCTTTTTACCAGTTTTCGAAGTGCTCCCCTGAAAGTGGAGTTACAACCTCATAACTCCCATATTGAATAGCCAATCAGTGCCCAAGATTGTTCCCACTTCATCCCCCTTTTGATTTTCGCAAAAGTGTCTGTGGCAAGGAGGGAAGGAAGCTCCCCTTGTTCTAACAAAGATAAGACAAATCAGTGGAAATACAAGACCTTACCATCTTTGTCCTTCTCTCATCTCTCCTCTTCACCAAAAGCCTGTTTAACGATTCCTTCAAGTAAACAAAGGACTTCCAATTTACATAGTATTCGATTGTAGGTAGGAAAAAAGGATCCCTTCAAAATCTTTGCTGGACTCAAGCTCACAGCTTGCGACGCTTGAAGGTCCTGCAGAACAATAACCCTCCACTACTCATGAGTTTTATTGCTACGGTAAACTACACAAACACCTCACCTACTTTGTTGACTGTTCCACATATCGCGAATCTAGCAGTAACCAAACACGAAACACCTGTATAATGCCGAATATTTCGATCAGTTGTAAAATAACAGAGTCGAATAAGTGAGAGAAAGGAGGAGGTGAAGGGGAAAGAATCGAATTGCCAAGACGAATAAAAATATCAGGAGTAGATTGCTATAAATAAAGTGTTTTAATAGGTGGGAATGGTAAGATCAAAGAATGGAAGTGGAGGGGTGAGTAAATACACATCAAATAAAAACACCGCAGATAGCAGTGGGGGTGGGAGGAGAACAGTTTTACAAACATAGAAGCACGGAGACACCAAACGGCGCACATATAATTTGAGAGGAGGACGGGGAGGAGGAGGAGGAGGAAGGGGAAATGGAGTCAAGTGTGAAATATTACGTGGAACTGCGCGCACGCCACTTAAGGACAAAAAAACAGAGGATACGTAGTATAATGAAGAAGACAATGAGCACAGTTATATCGATGCCATAGTGATAGTGACTGACACTGAACAAAGTGAGCACTGACTGCGGATCGGCCATGCAAGGAAAAACGGAACTTGTGGTCGGTTTTTTGGAGCAATTCATTTCACCTCGATTGTTGCCATAGATGCCCTAAAAAAGTGAAAGTGAGTAAGTGGCTATAAAGCAAAGTGATCTGTTTAGGTGTCCCCAACCTTCATAGAACCCTCAAAAGCGTAGCGAGTGAACGAGCTGTAGGAGAGCCACTGTAAGTACTTTGGAATAGTGTCCAGAGTTATGAAAAATCCCGAGAAGAGGATTATCGGAATGCCTGTCGCAGGACCCAGAAAAACGGATACCTTTAAAGAAGTGAAGAATGTGAGAAGCGTGGACATAAGCTTCTACTTCAGAGGAGGATCAACTCAAGAAGAATAAATCAACTGCACTCTGTCATCATATTGGCGTTGAAACCAGATATTATCATTGCAACGTCTAAGTAAGCTCTACCAAGGGAACAGAACTGATCGTTTATCGTTGACGATAAGGAGAGGCCTAGAGGGAATCGCTTATCCGCACCTCGAGCTACAAACACAAAAGTTGAGAGATACATGCCATACTCTGTCCCAAATTTTGATTCTCCGTATCGCTTCGACCTGGAAATTTAGAGTTAAATCCATCCACTAAATAAATTAAACTGGCTGGACATGCGCACCACTAAGTTGCTTGATAGTACTTGCCTTGAAGGTGAGACATTATCCGGCTAACACATTTTTATTACGGATGCTACTTATTTAGGCGATATAAGTAGCAATCTTTCTTAACAGCCATCGAAAAATGCTCGAACCAGGTTTCGACGTTAACCTCAACTCTCCATTAAACTTGGCTAAGGTCAAAGAAACCATATATCCATCGAAAATTCTGGCAATAGCATCTTAAAGGAGTGGAGGATGAGAAACACTATAGGCGGCTGCTTTACGCGTCAACAGCGATAGAAACCGCAAGATGACAATGAGGTTAAATTCATAAAAATATATTCCCGCTCAAGTCCATAGAGAAGTACCTCAAGATCAGTGGCTGCACCGATGAGTAAACCTTGGGATTGTGCTACAAAAGCGGTTAGTACGAGCATGGTGAGGAAGATCATAAAACGATTGAACTCCAGTGGTTGATCCGTCATGAAGTAGCCAATCATACCGTAAATGATTGCAAAAATAAACTAAAAATTGAAAGAAAGGAGTGCAATACAGTTAATTAGGTGACAGAACATAGTTTGCTAATAGTAATGTCATTCAACAGCGTCAAATGGAAACTCAACCTTAACTAAAGTATCCATTAATCGGTTCCACATAATCAATTGGGGATGAGGATGTCGTTTGTTGTGGTGGGCAACATTTACTCCGATAAACCTCTTACTTTTGACTAATGGCTAATTTTACTCTGATCTTCGTAGATATTTATTACATTTTGGGAATCAAATGATTTGTAGCTGGATACACCCCAGCACAATACCCTAATGCACGGGCAGCAATTTGCCTCTTGATGGCTAAAGAGCACACAGTAATCAAATTGGAATGGAGACTGAATAACTGCCTCAATTATCGAGCACTTCGCACACCGGCTTGGCCTTACTGCATAGTACGCATTCCCTTCAAACAAGGAGCTCTATAATATCAATGACAAGATTTGTTAACTTGCCTGGAATGGAAGATCGGCGAACGTCTTAGCAAAGTAATAGGCGCGTACACTGTACCAATAGTTCAGGTGTTCCGTCAAAAAGACACGCATTTCTAGCGGGACTGAAAGTGGAGAAGATGGGATGAGTGGTGGTGGGAAGTTGTCTACATGTTTACACATGCACTAAACATAGGGAATAGTTCTGCAGAAAAAGTCCCTGCTTTATAAGCCAATGGGAGTCGCCTTGACTTCTGATTGGTCGATTGCTAGGGATGGAGGAAGTTCACGAAGACAGTCAGTGCTGACAGGAGCAGGATTTTTTACTCAGGTAGTCGGGAGGAGCAAAAGGCTAGTAGGCGGATAGGTAGGGTTTTGTGAGCCTGCACTGTTCCATAATTAAGCATCTTACCCTTTATAATATTGGACAATCGATGCATGAGGGGACGCTATGACTGTATTGAAGGCATTATTCAAGATGTCATTAATGGACAGAAAAAAAAAACATGTTTATTGATAGGATACAGTGGCATTGGGTAGTCATAGTGGCAAATGTCCCTTAGCTCCCGTGTATCAATCTAATTACCCATTGTCGTGACGACAAAGCCCAGTGAATAATGCAGGCTTGCGTGACTACGTGGCTAGAAGCTTAAATTCAAAATACTTTAACGGCTATACAGCCATATCAGTCGGCCTAGAGGCGAAATCTGACAGCGCGCAAACCACAGAATGCATAAAGATGACCAGAATGACAAAGAATTTGCCTTATTGCCAAAGTGAAGCACTGATGAAGCTATTAATTTTAACACAACCTTTCGCCGCCCAAAATTGCAAGTTTGAGAAACTATTTAAGATGAGGAACTTTTAAAGAGGTCGTGACCTACATTGCCATTTACTCAGCAACAAGGTGACGGAACAAGTGTGCAGGTACACTCACATGTCATGACTGTGGGCATGAGAGAGGAGAACATGATAAAGAGGACGGAGAAGAAGATGAAGGCTGCATTATTGGTCACCTGGAAGCCATTGTTGCCGATATTGAAATAGAGGAGGCCAATCAGTATGCCGACTACAACATGCGCCAACAGGCGGAGCCGAGTCAGCGTCTATTTCACGATGGAGGCGTTGCAGAGGAGAGGAAAAGAGATAGGTTAGACATTGAGATGAACAAGAGCGGGAGGAATAAAAAATTAAACAGAAAGAAGAGGTTATTACAGGCAGTTGAACATAAAATAAACACAAAAAACCACTTCCAGATTCTCACAGATCACAAGAGCGTCTTGAGAAGTGATTAATGGCATGAGGTTTGACAACAATTTTGACACATGTCCATTTTCAATGACCCAAGTGCATGACTCCTGCCATGTCAGCCCAATGAAAATTTACATTTTCAATAAGAGTAGTAGAACGGAGAATAATCGTAAAAACTCTCCTCAAAGGTTGGATACACCATATTACAAAACGCTCAGCTCTTCTGAAGCCCAGGAGCATTAAGAAAATAAACAGTTTGTTACGGCAGAAAGCCGCCAAACCCATTGATGCAACATCAAGTACCAATCCCCGGAGAGAGTTAAAGAAACAGACGCTGAGAAAGAAGGCGGCAGAGGGAATGAAAAAGGGAGGAGGCGGAAAAAACCACTAACACACCTTAGAAGTTGCATTACCCGATGTCTGGACGAAGAGGGGGAAGGGTTGTCTGGGTAATAAGGCCTTCAAAAAGGATTGAGGAAATGTTAACTAAAGGAGGATTTATGCACAAAGCGAGCAATAGCAGTCATTTGGAAGCTTTTAGATTTATTGTTAAGGGACATAACACAAGTGAGAGGTCTGCTATTTCTAAGCTGTTAGTGCTTTTTCCACAATTTCCATTCTCTAAGCTACGCTTTACGCTGGTGCAGGACGAGAAGATTAAAGGCTCGGATATGCAAAAGGAGCGCACATTTGCAAGTGATTGCATAAGAGAAACAATAACCGAGCAATCGGTTACAAAAGTTACATATTTACTCTTCCTCCCCTCAACTTAACCACATCTTCGGAGAATGAATACCTTTAGCATCGATGGGAAGGTCTAACCAAATAACTGAATGAAAATTCAACTTAATGGGGTTAAACTCAACAATGCGCCCTTCTCCAGCTTATCTTAAAGGTTTTGACTAGGCCGGAAGACGGAGAGCATCGAGTCCCTACGACCCCGATCACCAAAGTCGGTCCCGCTCCCATATGAAGGATGGCATTGGTGAGAAAGTTTAATCTAACTTAAAATAAAGCATGCTTTAATGGGAATAAAATTGTTTTAATTCACTCTAATCCTCCCTCTTGAGTAGCAGTTTAGTCAGTCTGAAAACTTAATCAACACTTAAGAAAACGGACTATAATGAGGGATGATGAAAAAGCACCACTTTTCTTAAAAAGACTCACCTTATCTCGCCAGATGCAAATGAGGGTCCGTTTGGTCAAAATCCTTATCTGATGCAGCAGACCAACCTCGAAAGAATGCCCACCACGGCCATTCTTTTTTGTTTTCATTAACATAGGTAAAAAGCAGACGAGATGTTAGTTAACACAAACGAAATTCCCTCCCCATAAACAAAATTTGAAATTTGCCAAAAAAGTCCACAAACTCGGCAAAATTTTGGGATTCTTTTTTGAAAGCAGCAAAGGAATCAACAACATGCAAAAGATGAAGGAGGTTGTGGTAATATGATTTGTCCTTTTAAGGTGTTTTGTGCTTGAGTTATGTCCAACTCGCAACTCAAACGGGGAAGAACTTACCAGAAATGATTGCTAGTTAAATAAAGGACAATCAAACAACGTAATATTACATGGGTTAGAGAGTAAAGAAGGACCTTGTCAAATAAAAACCTATATTTGATTATGTTGAAGAGGGAGAAGGGTGAGGGGAGGAGGAGGACTGGAAACCTCGGGCGACACCCTGGGTAATAAAAATTAAAGGAGCAGGAGAAGTCAGCACAAAGGGGATGACAGAGGAGAAGCCAAAACTATGTTACTATGTGATAATGTTGATGTCTAGTGCATAACTACTCACACACATCAACCTTGATATGCTTTGCGTGACTTTTGCTGAAGAAGTGAGAGTTTGGGGTGGCGCGGGGAGAGGGAGAGGAAAGAGGAGAATGTCAGCAGCAGCCAGTAAACAAGCCTACATGTTCTAAAATGACCATCGAAATAGTATTTAAAACATTTCGATTCTCAGCATTAAAGTTTGATTAGTCCCTATTATCCCGAGAAGTGAGTCGAATTGCTGACGTGAACTATCAAAAGCAGTCTATCGGCTGCTCCAGGATAGCTGCATAGTCTCCTTTGCTGCATCTTCATGAATAATTGATACGACAACTAGTAGCAAACACAAAACAAACTGTGAATGCTTAATCAAAGGGGTGAGAGAGTAGACTCTTCGATTATGGTCATTTTTTAGCAGGTTTTACTGTTTCCAGTTTCAGCCAGCGAATCTCAGTTGAGGGGATGCGAAGACCTCCTTCCCTAATGCAAAAGCCAAAACTAGATATGTGATAGCCCAAGATGACCTCTACAATTCCAAACTTGACATTTAATTAAAATGGCCTCTGTCTTATCGTTCTTTCAAAGTCAACTTGGGAGATCTCAAAGGAAAGGGTGTGGAGCAAGCAACATAACCGATAACAACGAAGACAACAACGGAACCGCTTTATACGTAATGCAGTAGAAGAGAATAAACTGGATCCCAACTGACAATTCACTTATTCCATTTTATTTAAAATATTCAACAAAATTAGCCATGAAAGTGCCTAAGAGGGAAATTCGAAATAGAAGAACGACCATTTGCAACCCTTGAGGGACATTATGAAATGGAATGTTGAGGGAGAAGGTTAGAGAAGACAACAAATAACGCAGCTTAAACAACTTACTCTCACAGATGGAATACGCACCTAGAAAGGTATCAATTGGAAAGGAAAGTCCGTCAAGGAATATAAAAGCCGCTTAATTCAGAGTTAATCTATCTTGAGGGAAGTTAAAACAAAAAAGCATTCACCGTTTTTCGAAAGGTTGACTGGTCCTTTCGATCAACCCGAGTTGAGGATGTTCCCATGCCTGCCTCCTCACTGTTGGCTAATTCATCGCCATTGACAGGCGCCTTGACAGGTGCGCTCAGAGACTCGAGCAATGAGAACGAACTAGAGGCCTGGAGACGTGTAACTTCCTTCTCTAGACGTCCATCATTGACCGCACCGAGGAGGATAGAGGATGCTGTCGTTTGGTCCTCCTCAGTAGAAGCCAAATCCATCACTGCGAGAAAATAGCGAGAAGTGAAAAAAGGGTAAATATTAAATGACCATTCCAAATGGGTTATTTAAGTGCGATAACATCGGTAGCTAGGTGTTCAATAGGGTAAATAAAAGCCCCTGGATCGTATGTAATTCATTAGGTAAAGCCACAATACCCTCATATGGTTGCTTATTTTGCTTTTTCCGAAATCAACTAGGTTATGTCATTTGAAACGAAGACGAATGTACATCTCCCATTAATTCGATTTTGTCCTCAAGCAGAGCAGAAGATAAGGAAGAAGGCACAGAAGTCGAACCTCATCGACATTTCACTGAAGTAGAAGGATGGATAGAAAAAATCCAAGTCGAATCGTTGTTTTTTTAAAAAAAAGCACATTTCAGAATGATGATATGTTGGTGAATCACAGGCGAAAGTTGACTTACAAAAGTCTGAGGGATTGTGATACCTAGGGCATTGAAGTCCCAACGAGGCCAGATAGGGAACCAGAAGCTTCACTGGACCGCGATACAGGCATTGACCAGCTCGGAGGAAGTAAAGCTTGAGGAAATGGAGGAAGTTCGTTGCATTCCGGTTAAACCAAGCTTTTAACCCTTATGGCGGTACAGCTTAAAATTGTCTATCATCACACCATATTGAATGCAGCAGTCAACCATGATAAATCGTATCAGAGGCGCTCAGGTCCAGAATCGTGAATTTCCACCACTAAATTCCGAGCCTCAGTGCTTTAAGATCGATAGATCCTGTAGTCATACTCTTAACCCTTAATGTGTGAGTAGGGCATTTTTGAAGTGGAAGTGCAAGTGCGGGACGCATGCACCATGATTATTGATGTGGCTCCTAACGCAAGGGATGGGGGAAGGAGACGGGGGGGGGGGCTGTCGCAGGGCGAGAGGAGGAAGCCAATGTGAAAAAAAATGAGCACTCATCACATGCAAAACTACTATCTTTCACATTTCGTCGGTGGTAGATAGGACCAAAATCAGATGAGGACGGGGGTCAATGAAGAATTGCATCAAAGAGAACTTAGCTCCAAATTAATAGGGAAAAAAAAGACCCTAAACTTTTCATTTCATTTTAACTTTTGCCCATCATTCTAACAAAAGCTAGGATATAAGGTGCCGGTCACAAACAGTCAAAAGCATCATCACATACACCGATTCCATATTCTGAGCCACAAATAAGGTTGTTAACCCTTTTGATAACAAAACATCTTCACAGATGAGTAAGGATGAAGGGTTTCAAGTCATCAAAAATGATTTTGTTTGTCAGATGTAAAAGTGATAGGGTAGTGCAGGCAACTCGAAAATGAGCTTATAACTACAGCACCAGAAAATTGGAATAAAAGTAAACAACTCAGTGCCGGCCAGAAGGATGTACCCTAAAACACATGAACATCCACGCGGTAATCCTCACTGATTGGTGAATTTGTCGTGATGGTGAGTTTGTTGAGCACTAACAATGGACATGCAGAACGAAGGCAATGAAAGTGCGTTTAGGGGAAACTCTAAATAAAAGGCACAAGAAACATTTTCACGACATTCACCACTTCGTGGCAAATCACAGTGCATGATTTCTGAAGTAAATTTTGTAGGATTGTTAATTGGACTTTATATGAAATTTTTCCTGAGTCCAAGGATTCAAAACGCAAACGAGAGAAACACTTTAAAAAGATACCTGATCAAAAATATCGAAGACCGTGGCACTTGGCTGATGTATGGTGCAGACTACGGTTCTGCCCTGCTTTGCTATCGTTTGCAGTGCCACGATACACTGAAGACTTGCAGCGCTATCCAAACCACTAAAGAAAAATCACAAATTTTAAATGCTACCAAGAGTGATCAGCACAATGGAGTTCCTCACCTATCCATACCTAGTAACCCTGGGCAGACTAACTTTATTCTCAACTAATATACAATAAAATTAGGAAGCATCTCTAACAACCACATTTGCATGCCTTGACCGGTTAAAATATATTTGCGGTAAGTCAATGTGCGTAAGTATATCTACAAAAGAAAAAAAATGAGATCTCACCTCGTGGGCTCATCAAAGAACATGATCGGTGGATTGTTAATCATTTCTTGTGCTATAGATAGGCGTTTTCTTTGACCTCCAGACAAATCAGCGGTGATAGTGCTACGAACTTTGGACAAACCCAGAGTCTGCAAAATTTCATCAATCTAAATTTTTAAGGGATGACAGATATTAATGGCTGCTATGTGTTTGGAAATAAACACATTTGTTAGCATCCTAAAATGATATATATTGTAGTACATTTAAGTTGGCATGAAATCAATGCTTTGGAAATCAGTCCAATAATTATAAAAAATTATGCATTACAATTAATTTTCGTTGGTCTTTCGGGCAACTCCGAGGCAAATTAAGTTGAGAACTGCAAATCATCGCCTCTTCAACCGTCAACTGCGACAACAGTGGAGCATCTTGCATGATGAAGCAGGAGGATCGTCGAAAGGAGGCAAGATGACGAGGTTTCCCATTTACCAAAATTTGACCAGAGACGTTTCTAGTTTTGAAGCCAGCAAGTACATTCATCAAAGTGCTTTTGCCGGCACCACTAGGTCCCATCAAGGCTACTAATTCACCGCTCTTGAAGTTCCCAGACACTGATTTTAATACAAACTTGGGTCCTATGGCAAATCAAAGGCAAATCACCAACTTACGCAGACCACGACCCTGAAAGACAGCGTAGACGAGGTCTCTAAACTCGATGGACTTTTGGAAGCCACTACTATTGCATTTCTCCGGACTGCGACTGCGTGAGTTAACAACGGAATGAAAGTACGAAGTCTCAGAGCAATTATTTACACTTTCCGATTCCAACGAATTTTTAACGCTGCCTCTTGCCTCCTTAGTGATTTCTGATGTCATTGACGGTATGCGCAGCATATTATCAGTTCATGACCATACCTTATATAATGCGCCTTGTCATACTTATAAAGGCAACTTAGGATTTGTAACGTATAAACAAATAGTAGGTAACCCAACTTAACAGTGTCTGTTGCCAACTTTGTATCCTTCTTATCAGTTGTAGGGATTAAAAATCAGGTTTCTACTCCACAAGACCTTATTTTATTGTTTTATTAGCCGGAGCTGTTCAAAGTATGTTGTTCCTGAAATGAGCACAACTGGAAGTAATTGCAGGAAATTTATTTTCTTAAAATCCAAAGTTAACCAAAAGCATTCTTCAGTTGTGAACACGGAAAGCATCTTAATTACCTGATAATGAACCCATTGCCATTGTATAAACTCGGAACTTTTTGTTCATGCGGTGCTGAAGTAAAATTTTTCTTTTTCGGTTCCTTTTTGACCTTCAACCCCTTTGTTATTCAACTTGGTCTTGTCTGCATAGACCGGCCTTTGGAATAAGCCAAAGTCCATTTTTTAATACCTTATTTCTGTAGCGCCCCAAGACTTCCCATATTGTGGAAGAAGGCATAAATGAGGTTGAATACAAGTATTCCGAAGACGACATGACAAACGGGACCTGAGCGTGACCCGAATACCAGCTCACGTGTACATGGGCTGCACAAAGCCTAAAGTGAATGCCAAGCATTAGGTAGTGACATAAACAAAGCATTACACTGCCCCTCTGTTTTGAGCGACGCTCTCGGTGCTCCCCTTTGGTACATCTCCCGCACTAGTAATCGCAACATTTTTGGTGCTACAAGAAAGTATCCATGAGCCAATCGCGCCAGTCAGAATATAGCATCAGATTGAGGAATCGTAACTGATCTCAGCAGTTTCAACAGGACTTGGAGTTACGTTCGGTCTGACATACAGATTCGGTTCCGCATACACCTGTTGACCATCAATTGCTGCCAGGAATAGATGGTGTAACTGTGGTCTATATATGTTACAGGGAAAACTGGATGAGCCACTGTCTCGTATGCAGGGGGAACCGTTGTGTCATTTCCGACACCTAAACACGGATTTTGCACGGGAAATTCCGACACGATACTTTTCCAGATAGTTCACGGTGGTGTCGCTTCAGTTGTTAATAGCTGGTCTGTGGAACACGGGAAGAAGGTTAAACCAAATGCAGACGCCAATCTAAATCCTTCCGATGTGAGGGATTCGGGGATTCTCCGTCCCCAAGGTAAATGCGCTTCCTTCAATTCACGTCCCTTTTTCGCCTGTATCTTCATCTATTGCACTTTGATAGAGTCAGATTTCCCTCTACGTATGTATAGCTCATGATTGCCGGTGCACAACGCCAGAATGCGCTTATTGATCCTGGATTTCTCCACCAAGACGTAGAATTCCTTTGCAGTCTTGTCTGCAGGTTGGATTACAAGCTTCTTGTCGTGAAAAGAGGTTTCGAATTTCCGGCCAAGGGAGCCCGATTTTGGGCTCCAACAGATTATCAGGCTCATAGAAACTCAAACCCAGAGCATCAACACCAAGAACAAGCGGCATACATATCCAGATTCTGTGCGCTTTGTAGGTACTGAAGCATTGTATCATCCGATCGAAACATTGCACGTCGGCTTTTTCGTACTGTGCTTTTCCGGAAATTAGTCGACTTATTGGCAAAGTTTAGCAACACAAACGTATGATGTCATCAAGACAGCGGTGTTTGTTGAGCATTAGATTCGCCGGACACCATGTCGCTTTTAATAAATCACAGAGGAACCTCACCTTGGATAAAAGTCGTTTAATAGAAAATGTCAGATTCGCTTTCCGCTGCCATCAGTGTAGCGTCTCAAGACTTCCCATAGGGTGGAAGAATGCATGAGATTGAATACATGTATTCCGAAGGCAACAGGGCAAATGGGGCCTGAGCGTGGCCCGAACGTCAGGTAGTCACATAAACAAAGCATTACATTCTCTGATTACGAATCTTCATCGCAGCTTAATGTCTTATACTGCCTGGTGGGAAATCTCGGAACGTTACAGCGGCATAAATTAAAAGCTTTAGTTTCATTGATTAGGTGTCCTACCTACCATCGTTACATTAACTCACATATTGTAGGGCCCCGAATCTTTCCACTAGGTAGCAGAAGCCATTCAATAGGGTTATAATCAGGGTGAAACGGGGGTAGTTGGTATTCAGCATAGCTCGAGGCTCATCCAAATACGCAAGAATAATTGTCAGACATAAAGTTGGTGGCATACCCAATGTTCTACTTGTAAGTCACCAGTCTATTCTTGTTAGGGATGTGTAGTTATGCTGCTATGCGTGTTTTTACATTTAAAATACTCTTTTGATGACTTCCACAACACAGAATCATCAAAATGCTACAGGTTTTGTGTAAATTCACCCCCCACGCAAGCATCCGTGGTTCGACACGAATCACCAAAACTATGAAAGAGCGGAAAACTGTAAGAATCTGGAACTCCTCTGTTCACATCTCCCAACCAGTATGAAAATCCACCAAACCCAGCAACGTACGCGTCCCCCGAAGAGCTTTCCCAGCAATTTCCAAATCGACCCATAGCCCATGCGTGTAGCCAATGGCTACCATCAGGTAAAAAAAGGAATGCCATGTTAACTCAGGCTTTCATTAAACATGAATATCGCCACACCAGATGAAACCAAAGAACACCTATGCAAGCTTCTTGGCTTTCTGAAAGAGCAAATCCAGACTAGTGCTCAGTGTATGTACAATGTCCAAAGCAACTTTGTAATCGCGTCCATCGTAGGGTTCATCGCGGAGAACAAGCATTCCTGTGCCTTGATCCAAAATACCTGAAACATGAATAGAGTGATGTATTAAAGCGTCAAACGCCAGATTTTGATCTATTGTGATGAGACAAGCACATGTGGAAACAATGTGACTCATCCATAGAATGTCACGGGAAGCCAATCGAAAACAAGGGCAGAGGACACTAGATTATAAAGCATTGACGGGGGAGGAAGCTTGCCATTCAGTTGCTTGTCCAAAATCATTTGGGAGAGTTTTTTCTCCACATTTTCCTACAAAGTAAATCCCAATGATTACCCACACATAACAGACATATTAAACAGCATTTGCACGACACGTACCAAGGGTAGATTTATAAGCTTGGCAATGTGTGCGATTTGTACACGTGAATAGGGTTCAATCAGCTTTGTTAAATTCTGACCAAGCAAGGTGTCGTAGAAAGTATTGAGATGTTGTGAAATCACAGGATCACCTAGCAGCTCGTTCTTGTACTCCTCCCTCAACTAGATGAAAAGTGGAATAAAAAAATAAAAAGCTACATCAGTAACAAATTCTTGTTTGAACATACGTTTGAATTAACGTCGATCAATTCGCAATAACCGCCGCCTATTATCAGGCCAGAAACACTCTGGACTACTTAACAAAGTTCGATAATCTTTCAATCTTCCCATGTTATACGGATAAAGGGTGACCTCCGCCACTCCCATGCCTTAGATCTAGTGGTGTGGCAAGGCATTATAAATAAAATTCTAACAGAAACACCAAGCCATATGGAAGAAAGATAGCAAAACCGGCAAGTGAGAGCAATACAGAGGTTGTCAAAGACATTGCTAAATAAAAGTGCTCACCGGAAAGTTCGACCAAGCAAAATAGATAAAACCAATGGCTATGATAATGATATTAAGGATGTTTTAACTCACATTCAAGAAAGCGCCGAGGGAACGATCACTTGCAGCTTTGGCAACATCTCGCATAGCTTCGATGGGCTTTTGATTGTAACCAGAAGTCAGTTTTGAAGATAGGATCACGGGCACCTCTTCCGGACTTAAGTCAAAAGGAGAAATCAACATTGTTAAGGTGTCAAAAAGTTAATACCAATAGACAGAATTTGCCAACATACCAATTGACCATAATCTTTGCTAAGCACATGTACTTTAGGGCATCAACGGCTTTGCTGGAACCGAAGGAGTCGTAGCTCTCAAATGCCTCATAAAAGTACGAGTAGGCTGTTTTAAAATCTCGCTCATCAGCAGCATGAAGAATGCCTGCAACCGGTAAGCAAAACGATATTAAACACATGAAGCTATAAATCTGATACAGTAAAAAAACTCACCCGAGAGTAAATCAAGAGCGGCTTGAAGACGTGGAGGACAGTAGATGCTGTTGGCAGTAGTACGAGACGAGGTTAGGGCAGCTCGAGACTTCTGAAGATTGCCAACCCGATAGTAGACCTGACTTTCCATCAGTTGAACTTCTACGAGAAGGATCTTGTCGTCCAGCTTTTTAAGCTCCCGAAGTAAAGCACTTCCTGAAAATGATCAGAATGCCATTAGGAATCATAAAATAGGCGAGAGTCCATTGGGAAAACAAGATACATTTAAAAACAGGCTAACTAACTAGAAAGAACTCAAAAACCTGTTGATTAAATAACTCACTTTTGACTCGTTAAAAAAGAACATCGATAATAAACAACCAGTCGCAAAAGTTATCCAAAAAATTTAACAAATTACCCAGTTGTAAGGAATCTACATAGCGTTCACTGTCAGCATACAAACCCATTAGTCTAGCCTCAAGTGCCTGTTTCAAAAATATCCGTCGCTCATTGCCAGCCCATTCGATACACTCCTTTATCAAGTCAATTTCACGCCCAGTCCCAGCTTCCAAATCCAAGAATAGATCAACAAGCGTTCGAACCAAACGACCTGCCTTCGCTTTGCTGATTTGTTGCAAAAACGGACGAGTAATCAAGATAAGATCGGCTAGTTCTACAGCATATAGAAAAATTATTGGTAGAGTTAAAAGCAACATGATCAGACAGTAAATATTGCTATGCACAGAACTACACAAGAAATCACAGCTAACCTTTGGCTTTCTTCTCCTTCGCGTACGCATTTCCAAGTTCAATAATTGCGTCTTCCTTTCGTCTTATGCCTTCCTCATCATCATCAGAGACCTGATTTTCAGCTATATCATTGAAAAATATAGCAACTCAGATACCGATGCACAAGCATTGCTCGATGCTGTAAGTTGAACTATCGAACGAACCACGAAACGCCTTCGACAGATCCGCTGAAGTCATAGTTTTTAAACTGCGAACATGAAGGTGGGCGAATTGAAAACAAAGGGCGTGCAAATAATTGGAAAGGTCAAGCAAAGTTTGTGGCTTTTACCAGCTTATTGAGACAATACACTTTTACAGTTGCATAAAATTTCTAAATGTACTGTTTGCTGAAACTATTATGAAAGTAATTCGGATTGCTAAAATAATATCATTATTTTAAGAATGACACCCAAGAAATTTTATAGACAAATATTACTTTTACGAAGCTTTTTGATTTTAAACTAATTTTATTGCTTTTATAGATTTTCATATGTCTCATGCATGTATCCACATCGTTTTATCCCTCTTATTGCGTTTTTGTTTTATGCGTCCGATTTCTTAGAGCCTTGTTTGATATCGCGTATTCGGGCGATTGTGATGGATTCGAGTGAGATGGAAAAAGCCTTAGGTTTTAGTGCTTTTATTAGCAATAAGCAAGCCAGGAAGTTTGATTTTATGGAGATGTTTGAAAAATCATATAACGTTGCGAAACAGCGGAATCTTGAGGGGAATAGGAAACTTGATGGTACGTCGGTTTGTGTTCATATTGCCTTCAGAACAAACCGCTGAACCAGAATCTCAAGTCCAGACTGAAGAGCCGGAAGCGAAGATTGACGCTGAATCTGATCATGATGATGACGATGCTGTTGTCCCCACACTACCTGGTCAACCTGAAGATCCTTATTTCATACCGATGGCTGAGCACTTGCTCCTTAACCATGGTCCAAAGCCTCTCACTGCAGTTGCTTTGGACCCCTCAGGGTCTCGTGTCGCTACGGGCGGCTTTGATTTTGACGTTAAGTTGTGGGATTTCTCTGGAATGGACAAAAGCTGTAGAGCGTTCAAAATCTTTCAGCCTAGCGAGGATCAGCAAGTTAAACATATTGAATTCAGCCCTACAGGCGATAACATACTAATCATATCTGGCAGTCCTCAAGCTAAAATCTTTACACGCGATGCTGACCCCTACTGCGAGACCATTCGAGGTTATCAATATATCACTGATCCAGCGAGCGCTAAAGGTCACACTCATGCCCTCAATGGAGGTACTTGGCATCCAATCGATAGTCGAAAATTTCTCACCTGGTCACAAGATACTACTCTTCGGGTATGGGAAATAGACACTGCTGAACAAATTCTTGATGACACTCGAATCCCTTCTCATTCCTCCATCCTTAAACCTCGCAATAAGCAGGGTCGCAAAACTACGCCCACTGCTGGCGCCTATTCTAAGCAAGTAGCGAATTCTTTTAATTCTTTTAGAGATGGTTTTCTTGTAGCAGCAGGATGTGAAGATGGTTCATTGCAAGTGTGGGATACCCGAAAGCCCCTTGTTAACACTTCTCACCTCTACCGTACAGCGCATCCTGTTGGGACTTACACTACGTGCTTATGCTTCTCATGGGATGGCCATGTGATTGCTTCGCGCGCCATGGATGATACCGTACGATTGTGGGATTTGCGTGAGCTTTCAAAAGGAGCCGTTTATACAGTGCGTGACTTACCAGTATTATTTGAACAGACAGAAGTCTGTTTCAGTCCTAATGACACAATGGTGGCAGCTGCCGTCTCAGCAAAGCGCGGAGATCCGACCAGTGGTGAGGTTGTCATCTTCCGTAAGGATACGTTTGAGGTTGGTTTCCCAATATTTTGGCGTTGTTGTCTAGTTTATGTACGCAAAATTCTTATGATGTTATTAATATTGTCAGGATTGTTAAATACGGTTTGGGATTCCTTTTTCCATTGTTTGGCTGGTTAGTGACACAGTTTCATTTGTGTTAGCAGTGAGATGGGTAAGAGTATTTTTTGAAAAGCAAAAGTTGTGTTCCTGAAACTCTTTTTGTCTGAGAGGATGCGTGCTGACTGGGAGTCCCACTTTTGAGGTGTGAGTGTCATGGAGGAACAAGCGATCTGCTCCTAATCAGGCATGAAACAGTCCCTTCACTGCATCTCCCCTCCATCAAAGTTCTGCTTCATCATTTTGTAGTCTTTTGCCACCATCAGACATGCTGATTCTTTGGTCGAAGTTATTCTTTACTTCTTAAGTTGTTTATTTTGAACACTAGATTCGCATTGAATAAATGAAGTACCCACTCACTCGTTTGTTTCCTGCTCACTAAGATTTTGTTCACTCGTTGAGCGAACTTGAGCTTTTTCATCGGCTTATTCCTTATGCTTTCATTTTGACCTTGGTTTCAAAGATGCATGTGAGTTACTTTGGCCGAATTATGAATTAACTGGGTCTATGTACTGTCTGAGCAGATGAATTCAGCTTTAGCTCTACCTCTTTACTTTGTACCCTCATCGTCACCTTATACCCATTACATTAAACTCAATTTACTCTCCTTTGCTTCTCCTTCCTTGGCGTCTTCAAGTGAAATTAGGGAGTTAAATTTCATTCCATGGCCGTTCATGCCTTATGTTTAAATGTTTTTTTGCTCTTGTGAATATATTCCTGTATTTTCTGCTTTACAATCTCACACCCTACTCATATATGTTAAATAGTAACGGGCATTTCCAGTGCTCGCAGGACTTATTGTTGCTCGTTTTTTCTCCAGCTTCTAGTGGAACGTTTTATGCGCCTTTTTGACAAGTGTGCTGTTGGAATTCTTGCACTATTATTGGTTAACCTTATATATACAGCCAATTCATCACCACAAGCCGGGTACCGGAAGTGCGATTCGAGTGGCCTGGCATCCGCGCATCCGTCAGATTGTCACAACTTTCTCCAACGGCACAGCAACAGTCCACTTTGATCCTGCTCATAGTCGAAATGGTGCTCTAATGTGCGCCTACCGCCAGGCCTCCGAAGCAAGTCGGCGCCGTCGTCAGGGTTACGGCTGCTCTTCGGATGCCTTCATCAAACCCACCCTCCTCACCTTCGACGAGGACTCGGTTCGCGTGGCACGGAAGATGCGTCGACGCTTCGGGAACTTGGAGGATGAGAATCAACTTGCTGTGGCCGCTGCAATCGCGGCGTATGAGAAGGACCTTGTGGCTGCGAACGAGGCGATGCGCAAGGCTGCTCGTAAGCGTGTACCTAACGCCGGAGAGGATGTTGGTCAGCGTGTAGGAAGTCTACACAAGTACATGGTGCAGCAGATTGTCCTTCGCAAGAACGAAGCCGATGAACGAGCAGAAAAGGACATTCGGGGAGCTATTTTGCGTCATGCGGAGGCTGCAAAGAAGGAGCCGTTCTGGACGAAAGCTTATCTCAAGTGGGTTTCTTCAGGATTTAGCAAAGCCTTTTCTTTCTTCTCTTTGATAAGAATCCTATCGATTTTACAGGACTCAACCGAATCCCATATTCCAAAAAGATGAACCAAGCTCGCCCAAACGACCAAAGCCTTCGTAGGACCGATTAATTCATCTTCATCTAATGGTCTCTTGTACAGTCTGAAACGTCATCAGCAAATTTTCCTTTTTCGATATGCCATCGTTTTCCTGCTACCTATGCTCCAAACTAAGTAGGCCTTCCAAATTTGTATTCATATACACACTCCAATGGCACGCACCTTGCACAATTCGTCGACACGCCCAATGATTCATCGGTGTGGGCTCTCCTACTCTACTGTCTCGTTGCCTCGCTAGGGCAGCCACTCTCTCCCATTTCCAAGATTATCGCGGGTGCGTGTGCTCTCCCTTATCACAGCAATGCCTGTTTGACATTTGTCCATTCTCAAGCATGCTTGTCGAGACTATGAGGTCGGCGCTCTCACTGACAGGTGGTGAGGTCAAAAACGGCTCGGAAAACGGGGTCATATTTAGCCTCTTGTAAAAGGGATGAAGACGTTATTTATAGGCGAAATACTTTAGATATTCTAACTTTATCAGAATTAACAGTAGGAAAGAAAAGAAGAGTAGTCAAAATAGAACAAGGAGGTGGGGTAAGAAACTATGAGGGACAAGGCATTCGCAAGATCACTTCAAACGGACTCCAATGGCTTCCACGCGAAAGCCAATTGCTTGCAATTCTCGATGAGGTGCCACTAGACGTCCATCAAAGAAGGAGGCCGGTTTTCGCATTGCTTGGTAGATTGCATTGTAGTCTAAGCTCTGTGAAATGAACCAGAGGGAAAGTTATTCTTTAGTTACGTCACGTCTGAGCTGTCCTGCCACGTGGTGTCATTGTCGTCGTCAAGCTATGAGCCTAGGGACGACTTGCTCTTTGAGAAGTAAGCAATGGATTATCGTGCGGGGTGGGGAAAAACCGACGTCATGATCTACCCCGTCGAATCTCCATGCTTTCATGTCACTGGCGATAAAGGTAGTTCATACGTTTTAGGCGTTGCTTGGACGTCAGAAAAGAGCAGGAATGAGTTGGAGGGATGAGTTTCCTGACGTACCTTAAATTCGTCACAGTCTGTGCAGACGATTATTCCATCCGCGTTTTCAGCAGCCTCCATTGGCGTCATACACCAAATTAGATTGTCGATATTGGCTAAAGTTTGTGAGAAATTGAAAGAAGTGAATTTGTGTTTTGTCGTGGAATAATTTCATCTCCTACGGGGAATGGTGCCAAATTGGAGCCTGATCTATCATAGAAAGTTGGTACGACACACGATGTGTATTTTCCAACTTTTTGAGAAGCAATCGAGGCACACAAATGGTGTTTGACTCCAAAAAGCCCATTCAAGACAGACGGCGCCCCTTAAGGTCGGAAAATGACCTACTTAAAGTCTGTGCAGTGGGATTACTGAAACCTAGCTATGCCTCCCCAACTTCACCTTGGCAATGGCTTACGCCTATCCCTGGCATTGCTACCATTGAATCACATGCTCACAGGGGAGGCAGGTAGCTCGGAATTCTCCAATTGGCACTAATGGAGGTAAACAAAATCTTAACTTCTTGAAAATCGTGGGAGAATAGAGGAAAACCAGTACAAAAATAAGGTAACTACCACGGTAAGGTTAAACAGAAGAGCTTTTCTTCCCTTAGACTCACCTGGCTTCTGTCCTAGCACGTCAGTGATTGCGTCAACAAGGAATTCTTTCTTGGCCAAAGGATCGTAAACTGCGATAGTTGCGTCCTCTAACAGCAAACGGCAACATATCACAACTGCCGGACTGTTCCTGTAGCAGACAATAAATGACTGCTCAAGTCTTACTTAAAAGTTATGACAATAGCCTCATTGGAAAAACATAGCGTTTAGACAAACATTCATGGCGTTTATTCCAAAACGAGAAGGCCTACTAGAACTAGCACAGAGCGAGGACGTACTTTTATCCAACAAAACAAAACCCGATCCCCTGAATGTCCGATCAACACGTAATTCTCTTACACGGTAAGTGTCGTCACATCATCATTACCTACTGACTAGTACTTGTGCCTTCTTGTCAGCTTGTGTGGCAGCCATTTAGGCTTAACAATCGTCCTTAAAAGACAAATGCCGCCTCAGCAAAATTACAAAGAATGAACTAGTAATAGGAGGATTCTACATACGCACTTGACATCTGGTGTGCCTTTCTTGAAAGAACAACCGAGAAGAGCTAGCCTCCTGCCTCGCAGGGTCTCACAGTAATGCGCTGTAATTTTGCGAAAGAATCGCGACACTTGGAAGTCGTTGACACTCAATACTGCATTCCAGTAGGCAGCCACTGTTGGCAACTCCAATGACTCACAGGTGTAGACCTATACATTTTTATGGAAAAAGTGGGTTCTTTAAAATAAAGTAAACTGGTAGGTGTGAAAAATATGGAGAGAGGAAGACTGCTTACTAGATGATGAAGGTCCGCTGGCAGTGTATTACCTCCAAATCCAAGACCAGCATCAAGGAAGTGACGACCAACACGCGTGTCCCGACCCACGGCATCGGCAACTTGTCGCACATCAGCCGCTGTTTCCTCACACACACTTGAGATAGCATTGATACTACTCACGCGTTGGGCCAGGAAAGCATTTGTCACCAGTTTTGTTACCTCGGCAGATTTAGTAGACATAGTGAGGATCTTCTCCTTGGGAACCCAACGTTCATAAATACTGCTGACAACGTTAACAGCCTTCCTTGAATTTGGGTCCATCTCTCCGCCCAATACAACACGATCTGGATGAAGAAGATTTTCAATCACACTACCCTCGGAGACAAATTGAGGGTTGGAGACAACAACGAGATTCGAGGATTGCTAAGATAGGACGAGAAAAGCACAGAGTTGTAAACGGACTTCATGATATCCGTCGCCTTTCAGTCCCTAATAATTATTCTTGTCCCATTACACATCAATGACACAAGCTAGACAGGTCCAACTTAGTCTCGCGTTGACGCCAAGGAAGGCGGGGTCTAGTACTACTAATTGCGTGGCAGAGTCTGGAATATGATCGTAAATAAGCCACAATAACGCCTTCAAGGTTGGCTCCAAACAAGCTACACGCACAAAACTACGCTCATTAGTTATCCACTTCACCATCGTGCGTGAATGAAGGAGGAGTGGGTGCTTGCCAAAAGCAAATGAACTGTGACCGACATTATATAGGTAACAGCCTTCAAGATGTGCAACTCTAGGCACAATTAACCCGAAACGATAGTAGATCAGCTAAATCTGAAAAAAAGTTACTAACAAGAAGATAAGGAAGAGGAAGATTAGAACTAACCATTTTGTTTGCAGTGAAGATGCTATTAATGAGGTCAGTGGCACCAATGGGTACAGTACTTTGAACAACAACGATAGCCGAAGAGTTACCCGAGGCAACAATTTGACGCGAAATCGCCTCAATGCTGCCTAAGTCAGCAGCTCTCCCCTATGATTAAGAGCAAAATCATTTGTCTAACACCAGAAATGTTGCAGAGTATATCGAGATCGATGGAGACACCTCACGTAGTAGTCAATAATTTGCTTCTCTATATTTACAATCAAAGCAAAACACTAGAACCAAGAAATTTCGTATGGATAAGAAGAATTAAAATTAACACCACTTACACACTAAGTAAAACGATTTACATAGTTATTTAGGGTGTGGTAAAAATGAGGCAAAAATAATGCAAATAACCGTTGCGTAATTAAACTGTAACATCGATCAAAGGACAGACCCTTTAGCTGCATTGTTAAAAGGAAGAAAACCATAATTGTGGACAATAATCTGTGCTATCAGCCGCAGCTTGAGTGCCAAAATACAGGAAAGAAAGCACCATGGATTACGAATGACACCGAACACATCTAACAGTATTTCATGTGAATGTTAAGTTGCCCCTAGCATCCACGCCGCAGAAGACTTGGAAAACACTCAAGAAATGAGTACTCCAAATTTCATAAGCTAGACACCTAAAAAACTATTTATTCTACTTAAAAGCCTATGAAAATATTTATGAACCAGATTTACTCAATTAATACATACTCGACCAACACCGAGGGACTTGGCAGGAGTTTTCACGCAAATAAGGATAATATCAGCAACCGCAAGGTAAGCATCGACATCAGAAGAAATTGTCAAATTTTTGCCACTGCACTGTTTAAGCAGATCATCCAATCCAACCTTAAAAGGTGACATGAAAATACGCCTCAATTGTGTGGTAAAAAAGTACACTAAAGTATGAAGAAATTTAAGAAAAAAATCAAACACTAGCCAATGCATTACCTCTGATATTGGATAATCAGGCCCATTATTCCATTGTTTGATTATATTTTCATCCGAATCTACCACACTAATAGAATACTCCGGACATTTGGAGGCAATAACAGCACAAACAGGTACCCCCAAAATGCCAGCGCCGACGCCACAAATCTTGTATTTCATGCTCATAACTTTATGCAGAAAATTGCCTGGTGTTCAGTAGGCTACCAATGCATCCAAAAAAATCAATAAACGCGACTAAGGAAAAACGAAAGAAAAGCAAAAGAGAGTAAAATTATGTAAACCACTAACACTTCAACAAGCTAATTTACAAGGACAATTGACTAAAATTAAAATACTTACTGTCGTGACCTTACAGAGGCAAAGTGAGGAATCCGAATAAGGAGATTAATAGTAAAGCGCCAGGATCGTTAAAGCATGAAAGACAAACAAAGCCTAAATCACACACACTTAGAGCAGATATTGAAAATGTTGACAGCAAAAAGTACAAAAAAGAGGTAACTAGCTAGATGCCAAAAGAGAAAACGCGAAATAATCGAGGGCAAATGTTTATTCGAGAGCTGCGACCCGCAAACAAATCAGAACGAATACGATGACTCGATTAAACAAATTCTTTACTTCAAGGTCAATTATTCAAATAACGAAAAACGCCAATAATAGTTAAAAATTATGGCTTAACTATGCCTTTAATCTTGTTTAAGTTTCATTTTACAATACATATTGTAATTTACTTTTTATAGATCCTTGTAAATTTAATAATGAGTTTGTCTCCTTAGATTTCCTATCTCGGTATAGCCGATCACTGTTTATGTAACCCCTGTTATTCTTTTACTGATCAATGTGTTGCGGCCTTTGAACACATTTTTATTTATGATGGCTTATTTTGCAGGTTAACTTAGTAGGCGAACACCCCTTGACATAGCGCTCCAATAATTTTTTCGCCTTTTACCTAAAAAAGGCATTGTATATAATCAATAAGCGTTCCAATTGATGTAAAAAATTCGCATGAAAAATTACGTTTTCGTAGATTACTGCCTTCGTTTGGTCATATCTTGATGAGTTATACACTTTTATAAACCGATCTTTCCCTTTGCTTCTGCATTTTTACCTAACATTTTGAGTCGCTCTACAATGTGTAAATAAAGTGCCAGATGAAACTATTGTTGCGTCCCTCGTGGTGCTGGACAAATGATTCGTCTTTAACTAGTATCTTTGATTTACTGAGATTTGTTTGCCAATTTGAATAGTTTAAACTTTTGTATTATTGGTGCAGGTGTGTAATTTCCTTGTACAACAAATTTTATTGCATTACACGTGAATTAAGGTCTTAAAACTTCAAGTTTGTCAATTTGTCATCAAAAGAGTCACATTCTCTCTGACACTGGCCTTCAACAGTTTACATCAAAGTTTTTCTAATATGACACTACATAAAAATTTACGGTTATTTGCATCTTAGCTGTCATCCTAACCTTTTAACTTAAACAACGAGTCTTATGAGGGTTTTGAACGTGTTTTTTGTCGCATCAGCTATTCGCTTCTTTTACCTACATGGTTGCAGCCTATATTGGTCCTCATATCTCATGCAGATTAACACCTATTAGGAAGACGAGTTCCCGTCCAAAACTATAAACAAAAGCAGATTATAATTTTGTTTACTCTAGTTTTGAAAAAAACGTTATGTCTGAGCTTTGGTAGTTTTGTTCACGAAAAAACTGCTTTCTTTGTTGTAGGTATTGTCATCTCAACATTTCGACTAAGTAATCCAAATGAAATATTAGTTTTTTTGCAAAGCATGACTTCTTTACACCATAGCTTGGGCGTTAAACCTGATGGACAAACGCGGCTATAACTATGTGTGTCATTTTACCTCATTGTTCTTCTCAGAAGCTAAACCATTTGAGGGTTGGGCAATGCTACAAAGCAGTAACGAAACACAATGGATTTTAATCGAAGCTGTAAGCTTGGATAAAATATAATTAACAAGACCTTCTCCTTCTTCATCTACTTATTAGTTGGTTAAGTAGCATGTATTATTAAAATGTTAGTTGTTAAGTGACGAAAAATTTGGATTACAACGTATGTGTTTAAAATCCCAGATTAGCCCTGTACTGCCAATGCTGTGAAATAACGATGCTAACGTACGCGAATGCAATCTACGACTGGCAATATGCATCATGGGCATTGGTTTAAAAGTCAGCGAAAAAATGAGTTACATTTGCTAGTGATTATTTGAATTCATTTATTTCTGGCCAAAGGTACTCAGTTGTCCCGATTTTAACGTATTTCAACACTTGTTAACGATATGCTTTTTTTCCTGGGACTATTAGGTCCTCCTTCTTGTTCTAATGCGCCGTTGACCTTCATCTAGGTAATGATATGCAGGTCTACCTTGAAAGCCTTCAAGGTTGCTAAGCGTCCCTTCATTTTGTCAGATGTTGGTCTACTGAATGCTAATTGATAAGAGCGTGAGTGTTTTTGATAGTCTCTTAATCGTGAAATACGTCTCCATTGTACTGTCACTGAGTGATATTTGCTAAAAAATCTCATTTTCTGATTGATCGTGTCACTTCTAGCATGACCTATCGGTAAGTGGCAGCTGTCAAATGACCTCATTAAGCAGTGCATTGTTTAGGCTAAAGGTGATAATTAGGGTAATCACCGCTTAGCATCTGTTCTCATCTCCTCATCATCAGTGTACTAACTTTAAATCTGTCAATTCAAAGGCAATTACCTAAATTTATTTACCGACGAAATCTCACGTGTTGTGGTTTCTTAACAGGTCAGATTTTTTTAATTGGAATCGTTTCCAAAATCCCATCTTTAAATGAATAGGCACTTCCGACTCAGCTGCTCTCAATCACTATAATTCGCTTCTATACAAGATGAAAGAATCGAAAAATTCATCGTAAAGCAATTATATGTATATATTTGCATATACCCAGCTATATATATAAGCTTTGATTGGTCCTGACAACACACTGAAGGCATTCGGTGAGGAGGTGGTCGATAAAACAAGAGTAGTGAAAAAAATCTCTACAACTCCATTCACCATTCCTCCCATCGGACTAGTCAGTAGTCGAAAGAAGGGCTGAAGGGTGGAGGAAAGGGGAGGAGAGGTGGCAGTGTGAATGGGAGAAGAGGAGCGAAGGAGGCATCGAGAGAGGCTAGTGAACGATGTGAGAGGGAAGTGGGGAGAAAAACTGCGGGGAAAATATTAGGGAGACAGTGTGCACTCGGGTCATTGGGTTTGTAGGCTAACCAACCAGATGTAGAAGTTGCTCTTCGAACATGGCAATGACGAGCATTATACCAGCTCCTGTAATTAAGCCCGAGTTTTGTATTATCACTTGCACAATTCGACTTTGCCCTGTTTTCACTTGGAATGAATTCAACTCTGGCAGCTAAAAAATAGTAATATTCTTATGCTATTTCATGCTTTCGAATGATTCAAAATGTCTTGTTAGGCAAGTAGACTTCTTGATGTCTGTATCGCCTTAACTCGTAGTCAACATCTGGAACTGTGGCGAGGGTGGCTGTGGCAGCCATTGAAGATGAGAAAAGAAATGAAGCTTGCTTGTCGTGAAGAGAGCTTTATGCCATCATTAACACGCCACTTGGCTATAATGACGCCTAATCATCTGATTCTTTACCACAATTCCCAAATGTATCCGTTTCCTTCAACAACTAGGCTTGTTTTGTGTGGAATTTGCATTGATGTACTCTGAGGACAGGAATTTGCCTGTGTGTTTGGGATGTCAAGCTGTCGCGTAACTGCGCTACTCCATTGTTTACCGAGTATTAACTGTTAACTACATTAAACGTCTTTTTACTTCCGAATCCGAAGTCTCATCAACACAAAAGGCAAGTTTTTTTGCACCAAATAGAAGATGGCCTAATATGCTTTTTAGTTTTTTTGTGTCCATACTACTGATAAGGAAATGGGCCTACCATATCAACAAGAGCAATGTAAACAAAGGTGCCAGCAGTGAAGGCGAAGATCCACGAGGAGGCCGCCTCCACATTGCCCACTCCAATGCCTACCAGCATGCCAATTAGACAGAGGATAGAGGAGACGACGTTGAAGAAGAGCGCCTCCTTTATTCCCATGCCAGTCTTTAATAGAACTGCAAAATCCCCTAAAACCAAACGACAATAATTTATGCTTGATGTGACTATAGAGCAGCTGATGCGAATTCCTAAGGCGACTCCACCCTACAATATTACCACACATTGGAAATGTTTTCTCTTTTACTCTCTGCATCTCCGTGAATGTGTGTGTGTGTATGTGGCGCTCCCTCGGAATTGTAACAAGCCTACGTGGCAAGACTGGCCTCTTACTAGGATGTTTTGTAAATCGCCACCCAAACGTCCGTATTACTGTCCAGACATCACCTGACTCAGGTACAAAGCCCTAACAACCAACATACCTAGTTCGTGGGGCAATTCATGGCAGAAGACTGCGACGGTTGTGCTGATGCCACCAGCAATGCTATCAGCGAATGCCACCCCTAGACAATAAAAATCAAAAAAAGAAAAGAAAGAAAAGG